CCACCTGAGCCACTCTGCCAGCCCAAGGGTTTTTTCAAGATAGGGTCTTATGCCCAACTAGCACTTGTTATTGTCTTTTTTATTACAGCCATCCTGGGAAGTGTTTGATTGTGGTTTTGATTTGCATTTCCCTATGGACTAATTCTTTTCACGTACTTATTGGCCATTTCACATTCATCCAACTTCTGCATCAGCCATTGTGAAGGTTGTCACTAGGCTCCAGCAGGGGCTGCCTTCTCTCATGTCAGGCCCTCCCTAGATCATTTTTCTTCCAGTTTTGTAGTTTTAAAAATCACCTGTTAGCTGGGTGCTGGTAGCTCACACCTGTAATCCTAGCTACTCAGGAGGCAGAGGTCAGGAGGATCTTGGTTTGAAACTAGCCCGGGCAAATAGTTTGGAAGACCTAGCTTGAAAAAAATCAATCACAAAATGGGCTGGTGGAGTGGTTCAAGGTGTAGGCCCTGAGTTCAAACTCTAGTACTGCCAAAAAAATAAAATCAAAATCAACTGTTCTCTAAACTCTCAACTACGTCACCCCAACTCTGACTTCCCCCATGAGCTTCAGGTGTGTTTCCAGCTTCTATTGCTATTTGCACACAGGTGTCTAAAATTTAACTTATCACAAATAGAATTCTTGTTTTTTTCCAATTCAAACCATTAATTTCCTGTCTTTTCTCCATCACTGAATGGCACTCCCATCCACCAGTTTCTAGGCCATAGCTTCTGGTTCTCTTTGGTCCCCTCACCTCCCAAATCCCTCCATCATCTGTATCAGTTAAATCCTTTAATACATATCCAGCCCCTTCTTACCACCTCTACTGCCTGTGATATTGCCATAACTAGTGTCTGGTCTCCCTGCTAGTCTCACACAGCAGCCAGAGCAGTCCTTTAATAAAACATGTTTTAATTTTTAAAAATTTAGGAGCTGGGGACATAGCTCAGTGGTTGAGCACATGCTCAGCATGCATGAAGCCCTAGGTCTGATTCCCAGCACACACAGAAGTTTTTTAAATTTTATTATGAGATGTATCCATACTCAAAATAGTATATATTATATGGGTACTCTTAAAAAACATAAAAATTATTTTTGTACTCACCACCCACATTAAAAGGTAATACATTGCTCATGCCTGTAATTACAACTACTCAGGAAGCAAAGATAGGGAGGATCACTGTTCTAGGCCAAAAGTTAGACACCTCCTCCCCCGCCCCATCTCAATAAAAAGCTGGGCATTTGGGCTGGTAGAGTGACTCAAGTGGTACAGTGCCTGCCTAGCAAGTTGAGGCCCTAAGTTCAAACCCCAGTACCACCAAAAACAAACAAACACAAAGCTGGGCATTGTGGTACATGTCTGTGGTCCCAGCTATGCCAGAGGCATAGGTAGGACAATTTCAGACTGAGGCTGGCTCTGGACAAAAACTAGACCCCTATCCAAAAAAATAACTAAAGCAAGAAAGGGTTGGGGAGCAAGGCTCATGTAGTAGGGCACCTGCCTAACAAGCTTGAAGCCCTGAATTCAAACCCCCACACTGCCAAAATAATAATAATAATAATAATAATAGTACATTATTCAGTGCTCCTGAAGCCTCTGGGGTTCCTTCCTTGATTCTGTCTATCTTCCTTCTCCACAGAGATTTCCTGAATTTTGTTTTGCTTCATGGAATTACTGCTTTATTTGGTTATCTATATATTGAGTTATAAACACCTTACTTAGCTTTGCATATTTTTGAACTTTTCACTGATTCATGATATGGGAAATTATTACTTACTCTTTTTGCTTAGCATAACAGTGTTTTAGTCATATTCATCATTGTTGATGTCTGAGACTAGAGTTCATTTTTTTTCCACATGGCAGGAATATCCCCAGTTTATCTGATGGACGTTTAGGTTGTTTGCAGTTTTCAACTATTACACAGTACAACTGAGTACATTCTTATACATGTCTCTTGGTACACATGTTCTCATGTACCTGATGGTAGTAGAAATACTAGAGAAATACACACCAACAGGAATGCCTAAAATTAAAAAGGGTGAACATAACAAGGACATGGAAATAATGGAATTCCTTTTTTTTTTTTTTCCTTTTTGGTGGTACTTGGGTTTGAAGTCAGGCTCTCACACATGCCAGGCAAATGCAATGCCACTTGAGCCCATGGGACTCTCATTCTTTCTGGTGGGAATCTAAACGCTATGGTCACTGTGGCAAACTATTTGATGATTTTTAGTAAAGTTAAACATATGCCTACTCTATGACCTAGCATTCTACTCCCAGATATTTACTGAAGAGAAATGAGAGAATGTGTCCACAAAAAGGTTTATACAAAGAAATTCGTGACAGTTTTAATAACAACCAAGAACTAGAAACAGCTCAATATCCAAACATGGAAAAGAACAAACTACTGATGCACACACGAAGAAATCTCTAAAACATTATGCTGCGCAAAAAGAGTCAGGCACACATGCATGCATGTGAAGTTCAAGAGCAGGTGCATCTTATCTCTAATGAAGAAGTCAGAAGAGTTGGTGGAGCCATGACTATTGACTGGCAAGGAGTAAAGGGAACTTCTGGGGTGGTGGAAATGTTCTGTACTCTAAACTGGGTGGTCACACTAATAAGCACATAGGTAAACTTCCATCAAGCTTTACATTGAAAGATTTCTGTATTTTAATATGTACCAATTAAACCTTTTCAAAAATAGATTGACCCACATTGGAGCAAGAGTCACCTAAGTGAGATTTGGATGGGGAAATGAAATACTATAGCCAACTCCATTGTTGGGGTTCAGTTTAAGCTTTAAATCTACTTGGTGTGACAAGCAGGCAGAATTCACTGGCTTTGTTGTGAGAAACCATTCCTTTCCACCCAAACCTGAGGGGGAAAGCAATCTCTGAGGATGTGTACATACATGGAATGTCATAAAATAAGCCCAGGACAAAGCCTGGTGCACACTTTGGCATTAGCCCCCACCTGTGCTGCCACCAAAAGAAAGCTGCCGATATTCCTGGGCCAGTCAGCTGATGGAGGAACTCATGTGTTCCTTAAGCAGGCACTTAGGGGCCAGTGCTGGGCCATTGTGGAACAGGACATACCCATTCAGGTCCACATGGAGCTTTCAGTCCAGTGCAAATTCAAAGACACAGGCAAGGTAGGCATAGGTGTCTCATGTCTGTAATTCCAGCTACTTCAGGAGGCAGAAATCAAGAGAATTGAGGTTTGAAGCCAGCCCTGGGCAAGTATTTCTCAAGATCCTATCTTGAAGAAACCCATCACAAAAAGGGCTGGAGGAGTGGCTCAAGCTGTATGAGTAACTATTTAGCACATGTGAGGCCCTGAGTTCAAAACAACAACAAAAGACAGGAAATTACCAAGCATTGTAAAAGGGAAATTACAAGAAAATGGGAGGAAACAAGAACTGCAAAGAACCTCAGGAGGAAATCAATCTGACCTATTACAAGCATGGTATAGGGCTGGGGATATGACTCGGGTAGAGCAATTGCCTAGCATGTGTGGGGCCCTGGTTTCATCTGCATCAGTGCAAACAAAGAAAGCATGCCTTTAAGGCCAGCAAGGCAGAGCAGATGTCAAAGGGGAAGCCAAGAGGCTTGATTAGGATTTATTAGGAACCTGGTGGGAAGGTTTGAGAAGGAACGCGTCACAAACTGGTTTCTACTTTAAAATGGACCCTTGGAGCAAACTGTTTAAAAACCCAAGTATCAAGATTGGAGAGAATGTGGAGTATAAGAATGGAATTTGGTTCAGTGCCTTGGAAGACACTTTGACCTTACTTTAAATGGATGTGAGTATATCCCCACTTTTTTTTTCTTTAAGAGGAATTAAAAACCATCTTTCTCACAGAACACATGGTATGGGTATAAAATGGGAGACTAGAAAGTTTTCACAGTTGTCCTGGAGATTTTGCTTGTTTATATAGTTGTTTTTGAGATAGTTTTGCTATGTGCCTAGGATGGTCTGGAACTTGCTATGTAGCTTAGGATGGCCTCGAACTCAAGATCCTCCTGCCTCAGTCTCCCAAGTGCTAGGATTACAGGCATGTACCGCCACACCCGGCCTCTCCCCCAACTTTTTTTTTTTTAATATCAGGGTGTGCATGGACTGACTGCGAAAGATTGAGCAGCTCATAAAGTGGAAAGATCTCAGTTAGGCAGTGGGCCACCTGAGGGACATGGAGAGTTCCTAGGTAGAAATGAGATGATTCATGGGCCAGGCATGGCAATACGTGTCTATCAAGCTGGTCAGTAGGAGGAAGTTGGGAGGAACAAGGTTCAAGGCCATTGAGGGCAAAAAGTTAGCAAGAATCCACCTCAACCAGTAAGCTGGGCTTGGGGCACACCTCGTGTTCCCAACTCTGCGGGAAGCATAGGTAGGAGGATCATGGTCTGAGGCTGGCCCCAGGCAAAAATGCAAGACCTTATCTGAAAAACAACTAAAAGCTAAAGGACTGGTTGCATGACTCAAGTGGTAGAGCACCTGCCTAAGGAAGTGAAGGACCCTGAGTTCCAACCCCAGTAGTACTCCCTCCTGTCCCCCCCAAAAAAAAACAAAAAAGGATGAACAAGTGCCAGCATGGGTTGACCTCTGGTTTTTGGTGCATGTCTGGAGGCTTTTCATGCTTTTTGTCCCTCCCTATGCTTCCATTTGCCCTCCACACAATTTAAACAGCGTAAGCTCCCAGTACCAACCTGGACATGGGGTTCCCAATGCAAGAACTTTTGCCAGTGACCCTACTCCTCTGCTCTTCCCAAGCGCATTGTTGAACTAGGGATATTTCCTCTCCCCAGCAAGGCAGTCTGGTTACTTCAAATGCCCCACATTGATTTAGAATCTCAAGAAGTTAGTGACGTCCCTAACTGAGATGTTTGCTTTGGAAACCTCCCATTGCTGGCTTCTGCCCAGCCTCCGTCTTCAGTGGGGCTGTAGTCCTGCAAGCCAGATCTCCCCAGCTGAGGCTCCTTGATTCCGTCATTTGCCCAGCCTGCAAAGTCATTTCCTCCCAGGGCTACCTTTCTCATGAGTGGTTCTCTTCAGGTCACAGGAAATCAGGAGCAGGACCCAGAGAAACTTTAGATGTTGGGCATGGAAGTGAACAAAGGGATAAATAGAAGAGACAGTGACCTGCCTGGCTTCCTGTTTACAGACTGTTCATTGAAAGACCTCTTCTAGAGTGTGATCTGCTAGGAGTACAGTAGAACATTTAAAGAAGCACATTTGAGTCAACTCTGCTGGGATCTATGGATTCAAGCCAGGATCCCTGGGTGAAGCTTCATTCTTGTCCCTGCAAAGCCAGCCTCTGTGTCTCTCCTTCCCTCACAACCCTGTGCTCTGAGCAACTCAAGATGCTCATCCAGGCTTTGGAGTCAGACAAACCTGGGTTCAAACCTCACCTCCATTCATGAAGTCACAGCCTGAAGCAAGTATTTCCTTTTTTTTTTTTTTTTTTTTTTGGTGGTACTGAGGTTTGAACTCAGGGCTTCCCACTTGCAAAGCAGGTGCTCTACCACTTGAGCTACACTTCTAGTCCTTCAAGCAGTACTTTCATCTCCGTGAGCATCATTTTCCTGACCCAGAATAATATCTTCCCTATTGGAATGTGCTAGTTTCATTCCCTGATGGCTTTGGGGTTTGACTTGGCCCTAGAAATTTCAGCAACCACAAATAGAGGGGGCAACAGTGTTTCTTGAACATAAAGCATAAGAGAACTTATCTCCAACTGTTGGCAGAAGCCAGAAGACCCTGCCTGAAAGGGCTAACTAGAGCTTTTAACAAGTAGGGGCAGTGTGGGGGGGGAGGCAGCAAGGCCCAAGGACCAGGTTTGTCCAGATTTGAATTTGAATTCAGGGCTTCATGCTTGCTAAGCAGGCACTTTATCAGTTGAGCCACTCCACCATTTTTTTTTTAAAGACAGGGTCTTTCTATGTACCCCATGCTGGCCTTGAACTTGAAATCCTCTTGCCTCAGTGTGCTGAGTATGGGATTATAGGCATATGCCATGGCATGGGTGCAAGCTCCTTTCTTTAGGGTCAGTACTCACAACTACACTGCAGGTGTACTCTTCTCCCTATTTTTGTCTGCCAGGATGACATAGGACCCTCTACCAGGGTTCTACCAGGGACCCTGGAGTTCACTTCATTTGCAATGTACAGACCAAGGCAACTGCCCAGAGTGCTTGTTGGTGATGGTCCTGAGCCTAGCAACTCCATTTCCTGACAGAGCAGGAGTGATGGTTCATGGTTTACCAAACCAACCAGAAATGCCTCCTCTGTAATCCACACCCAAGTGGGAAAAGGGAAAGTGACAGGCCCAACCCTCCTTCTTGTTGGGTGTGCTTCCCACAGGCATTAAGAGGCCCCTGAGAGCATCATGTGGTGAAGTCAGTATTCACAGTCCCCTGAGATCCTCTCTGGGCTGATTTTTTCTTGTTTCCCCTGAAGCTGCATAAAGCTGGGCTGGGGCTTTCTAAACCAAGTACTTCCAGTAACTTGCTGTATGACTCTGGGGAAATCAATTTACCTTAGTCCTTGTTTACCTTCTGGCTAATAAGTAAAATTCTTGGCTAATCTAGCTCTCTGAGGCCCTGGAGTTATGTAGAGCAATGTTATCTGTGGATGGTTGGAAGGGAGAGCTCTTTCTTTTGTCCACCCTTAAGTGGGCATCTCCTCTACTACTATCTTTGTAGTAGACCCTCTAGGTCTAGGGGCAGGGTTGAGGGGAGAGCCTGTGTGTGATTTATCCTCACATTCTTTTTCTTCTCTGAAATTTCAGGGTCATGCTGCAGCAGCCTGGTGCCTGATAAGTAAGGAAGAACCTGCCAGGGGATTACTGCTAGCACTAGCCAACGGCAGGACAGGCTGGTCTCGGGAGAGTGGGGATGGGCAGAGCATCCGTCAAGCCCAGGCCGGCAACCTCAGAAAAGAGGCCTGGGCCCTGGTGGGGAGCTCCTGACATGCTCTGCTGATCCATTTGACTTGGACACAGCACCCCACTGAACAACACCTGTTCCCAGCCCCAGAGGAGCCCTTAGAAGGAGTAGGTGCTTTGTGACCTCTCTGTGCAACTGCAGCTGGGCTGTGACCACCAGAAGGGACCAGTCCACTGAATGGGAAGCAGTAGGACAGAAGCTAACTAAAGAAGGATCTTGTTTTCTGCAGCAGAGTTTCTCACTGCCCTTGGAGCTTTGTGGTTTTCTTCTCTCAGGGCTGGTACCTGGCTCCTATCCCTTAGAGGGGTTGGGCCAGGAGGGCTACCCACAGAGGGGAGGACTTTGTGGAATGCAAGCCCCTGAAGCCTGCGTGCTCCCTGTTGTGGTCAGAGTTCCAAAGCTTCCCCACTGCAGGGGACGAGGGGCCGCCTCGGTGTCTGCTCATGAGCCACAAGGACCCCTACTGTTCCAGACTGGACCTTCTCAAGCTGCCAAAGAGGAGAGCCCCCAGAGCTGGCAACCAGCAATTACAAGGGACTAGAGGGCTGGGATGGACTGACCTTCTCCTGGCCAGGGTGGCAGGAGAAGCAGAGTCTTTGTGGCCCAGCTAGTGACAGAGAAACCTGATGAAGCCCTAAGCAGGGGCCCAAAGTGGCCAGGGACAGGGGAGCCGCTCCTGCCAACGTGCTTTCTCCTTTTATTGAGAGAGGACGTGGTGAGGATCCCCTGTTGCAGCACGTGGTCCTATGCCCTTTGCATGTGCTGCCAGAGCACGCAGGCTGCACCGTGGCCAGCTCCTTAGCGGACTGGGAAAGGAGTGGCCACGGTGACTGCTGCCCACCCGCCAGCACCATGAAGTGCTCCCTGCGGGTGTGGTTCCTCTCCGTGGCCTTCCTGCTGGTGTTCATCATGTCCCTGCTCTTCACCTACTCACATCACAGCATGGCCACCTTGCCCTACCTGGACTCGGGGGCCCTGGGCGGGACACATCGGGTGAAGCTGGTACCTGGCTATTCTGGCCTACAGCGCCTTGGCAAGGAGGGGCTTTCAGGCAAGAGCTGTGCCTGCCGCCGCTGCATGAGTGATACTGGCACCTCTGACTGGTTCGACAGTCACTTTGACAGCAACATCTCGCCTGTCTGGACTCGAGAGAACATGGATCTCCCTCCGGATGTCCAGAGGTGGTGGATGGTGAGAGCTGCAGCCCCTTCTGCTTCCCCTTTGCTGCCCCCTCTACAGGGATTGGTTCCCCCTGTTTTGGAGTCACCCTTAGAGCCCCCTCTTGGATTTGGGCTGTCTGTCTTCTGACCCCCAGCGCCTTGACAAAGTGGAAAGCCCATTTGACCAGAGCCATGTACCAGGATCACAAATTATTGAAAGGCAGAGTGAGCTTTGACCTGGAAGGAGAGAGAACTAATATTTGCGATGCTTGTACCAGCCCAACATAGACTAGAAATGCCTGTTGGTTCAGGCAGTGGGAGAAGCGGCCTGAGCGAGAAGGTAGGGAAAAGGGAGAGTCATGCAGTGGGGGCAGGGGTGCCTGTTATGTAGGAGGCATCCACCTTCCACCCTCAGCTAGTGCTGCTATGCCAGGATGGAGCTCATGCTGTTGCTCTTCCAACCTCTTATCAGACCCCAGAAGTCTGGATTTTTAAACTGAATATCCTAATTGGAGGTAATCTTAAATACCTTGAGAACTACTTTTGATTTTTTGCAGTTTCTGAGAAAGATTTTGCTCTGGACTGGGATAAAGCATTGTAAACTGTCCTCAGAGGATAAGAAAAATGAGGAGGAGGTTGGGGGTCTGGGCTACAGATCCACCTTCCACTCTTCTAGATCCCAGCACCTTTCTGTTTCTCTTAATGCCCTCCACCCTGCTCCCATCATTTCTGGAGCATCACTTTCCATGCTCTGCAGAGCCATCTGATTGCTGCCTGGGCTAAGAGCCAAGGATGGAACCCTATCCTTGGGCCCACAGTCTACCTGCATTCCCCACTGGGGGCCTCAGGAGGTAGGTTTTAGTTCCTGGTTTCTCCAGCTGACAAATGGGAGCAGGATGACCTCATGTGACCAGGCTTATCAGAGCAATGCCTTTTGACCCATACTGTCAGAGCCCCCAGGACTGGAGTCTCCAGAACAGGGCTGTTTAGGAGCTCCATAGGCCCTTCCCATGGCAACCTGGAGCCTTTGAAGGGTTATACCTGTTGCTTGTAGTCACAACCTTCATTTTATGGGGAAAATTAAGGTTCAGAGCATGCACAGGGTCTGCACAGCATTGTAGTCTCAGTGGTGGCCTTCTAGAGTCAGGTTAGGACTGTTGGCAGGGGTAGATGCAGGGGACAGCACAAGCCTCATGCCCACAGAGCTGGAACTCAATGGTTTGTAAACACCAAATGTGTTCTTCAGCCCACAAACTTCCCTTCTCTCACAGACACCAGCCAGGTCCCTCTCCAGAAAGATCTCTGGTCCCCTAAGCAGTCCTCCTGTTCACTAAGCTGTGGAATTATGGCTCAGTCCACAGTGCCTTTTTTTCTTTTTGACGTGCTGGGGATCAAACCCAGGACTCACATGTGCATGAGCCACTGGCATCCAGCTATAACAGCATTTTAAAAAAAAATTAATTTTGCTTTATTTTGTTACTTTCTTTTTTTTTTGTTTTGGATTTTTTAAATTGTTTTATTATTCATATATGCATACAAGGCTTGGGTCATTTCTCCCCCCTACCCCCAACCCCCTCCCTTACCACCCACTCTGCCCCCTCCCTCTCCCTCCCACCCCCTCAATACCCAGCATAAACTATTTTGCCCTTATCTCTAATTTTGTTGAAGAGAGAGTATAGGCAATAATAGGAAGGAACAAGTGTTCCTGGTTGAGATAAGGATAGCTATACAGGGAGTTGACTTGCATTGATTTCCTGTGCGTGTGTGTTACCTTCTAGGTTAATTCTTTTTGATCTAACCTTTTCTTAGATCCTGGTCCCCTTTTCCTATTGGCCTCAGTTGCTTTTAAGGTATCTGCTTTAGTTTCTCTGCGTTAAGGGCAACAAATGCTAGCTAATTTTTTAGGTGTCACTTTCTTTATTACTGTTATTTATTTATTTATTTATTTGGCAGTATTGGGGTTTAAACTCATGGCTTTGTGCTTACTAAGCAGACTCTCTATCACTTGAACCAAAAAAAAAAAAAAACCACAAAAAACACAAATGAGTGCTTGTGGCTCATGTCTACAATCTTAGCTACTTGAGAGGCTGAGATCAGGAAGATTTGCAGTTCAAGGCCAATCCGGGAAAATAATCCTTTTTTTTTTTTTTTTAATGGTACTGGAGCTTGAATTCAGGGCTTCATGCTTGCTAGTCAGTAACTCTGCCACCTGAGCCACTCTACCAGTCCCAGCCCAGAAAAATAGTTTGTGAGATTCCATCTCCAAAATAATCAGAGCAAAATGGACTGGAAGTGTGGCTCAAGCAGTAGCACTTGATTTGCAAGTGTGAAGCCCTGAGTTCAAAATCCAGTCCCATCCAAAAAAAAAAAAATGAAATCTAGGTATCTCAAATGAAATCTATATTTTTAGCATTTAATTTGTTTTGTGGTACTAGGGCTTGAACTCAGAGCCTACACCTTGAAACATTCCACCTGCCCTTTTTTTGTGATGAGATTTTTCAAGATAGGGTATCTCAAATTGTTTGTCTGGGCTGGCTTCAAACTGCGATCCTCCTAATCTCTGCCTCCTGAGTAGGTAAGGATTATAGGAATAAGCCACCTGGTAAGGCGCCTAGCTTATTTTTAGCTTTTTTTGAAAAATTGGGAGATTTGTCCTTTCTGGGATCACAATCCCAAGTGGCAACAGTTGGCTGAATTTGAATTTGCTCTTTGTGATAAACACATGGTTTTCTGTTTGCTATGGACCTCACCTGCCCCTTCACACCTGTGTTTCTTGCCTGGTCCTGGAAGTATTGAATTGCAGTCCCACTTTATTATATGTCTTTAACCAGCTGGTGGTAGGTGGTGGTATAAGGGACGAGTTTTATTCCAGCCATCTGGCTTTGATAGAATTTATGTTCCTCTCTGCCTGAGTAGCCTCAGGTATCCCATGAATGTTGCCTTCATGGGCGTCTAAACTGAGTCCCAATGACACCCCTGTAAGGCTTCTTGGAAAGGAGCTCTGAAGGAAGTTTCTCTGCTTCATGGCACAGGCCTGCAGGTCCCTCCAGAACATAGGGAATAGCACCTTTATCCCCAAGCCCTTTCCAGAGCATCAGAGCAGCCACATGCCAGGCAGGACACCAGTCTTTGAATGGTGGTGAAGACCATTGGGAACTTTACTGCTGTTGAAAGAAGGGCGGGCCTTTATTGCTTGGGACGAGGACTCACTGTCTCCGATTGAATGGGACTGCTAAAAGGGTTGGTGGTGTCCCTCCCTCCTCAGAGGCCTCTTCCCCCACCCCCAGATGTTGCAACCCCAATTCAAGTCACACAACACCAACGAAGTGCTGGAGAAGCTGTTTCAGATCGTGCCAGGCGAGAACCCCTACCGCTTCCGGGACCCCAACCAGTGCCGGCGCTGTGCTGTGGTGGGGAACTCGGGTAACCTGCGGGGCTCTGGCTACGGGCAGGATGTGGATGGACACAACTTTATCATGAGGTGAGCCCTTGTGGAACCAGGGTGGGCCAAGACAAGCTTCCAGAAGGGGCCATGTGTCCATGGCTTTTTCTGTCAGAGTACGAATTACCAGTTGCTTAGTGTGCTGAGAGACCCTGTCACCCAGAGCATTTGATGAAAGGCTCAGGTCTCTCTCCTTTGTCTAGGGTAGGTGCCCCAAATCTAAACCTTGCTGGAGGCCCATATCAGTTTCCATGGCTCTGAATCCTCTGGAAACTAATGTGGGAGTTCCCACCAAAGGCCCTTTCTACCTACCTGGTCCCCTCCAGCTGTTGGGCAATTGGGCAATGAGTGAGGACCCCAAACCAAACTATCATTTTGCTTTTTGCAACAGGAAATTCTTTCTGGCAGTTTCATGGAAGGCAGATGTCCTAAGCAGAGAAGGTAGCTGTCCAGTGCTTGCTCTGGGTGGCTGCCCTTTTCCTTCATCTTTATAAGACGTCCACGAACATTTGTGCCTAGCCCTGAGGAAGGGAGAAGGGTTGGAAATGTGTTGAGTGTAGACAAAGACAGAGCAAGGGAAGCCTGGGCGTGAATAAGGAACATAGGGTAGACTTGGGACCCCAAATGGGCTGCTGTCTCTGTTCTCAACCTGTGTGTTTTCTGACTTCCCTCCACACAACCCTCTCCTCCTAACTTGGCCTGGACAGGATGTCACAATGAGGTTCCTTCCACCCTATTTGTTGGTGGAGGAGGAGCCTTACAAATACATTGAAAATGCCAGGTTTTTGGTAAGCATCACTTTGGATGAGCATTATAGAAAGACCAGATTTCCCAAGAGGCAGAAGGCAAGGCTTTGTCTTAGAAACTGTTGCTGTCTCCATAGCAACACCTAGCAGTGATATGTCTCTGAGGCTTTCCACATTCCTTGCAAGACCTTCCTCATATTGGGAAATGGTGATGGGTGGGGGAAGAGGATGCTGGACCCCTCCTAGCACCTGAGCCATCTGGAATTATTCCCATCCTCCCAATTGTAGGTATAATGGGAGTTAGAGAGAGAACTTGCTCCACCCAGACAGTAGTGGAGATTAGGGAATGTTTGCTCATTGTTCCAGTGCTACCTATGGCACTTGGGAAACCCAGGAAAATGCTCTCAGAGCCTGAGCACCAGCCTCCCCAGCCACCTGCACAAGAGTGGGAGTTTTCCTTAGGCACCTTAGTTATGCCTAGGAAGCTCCAGGATTGAAACCCTGCAGATTCAAAAATCTTGGATGCTTATGATACGTGGGTGGTAACTGCCCAGGCCCAACTGTAGATAAATTCACAGATGCTCCTTCACAGAAGCCAGGCTAGAGATGAGGTGTTTTGGAGTGGGCCCTAGAATCACTTTCTAAAAGAGGTGACCCAAATAGTAAATTGCTGTCTGCTGATCTGTATAAGGAATTAGGTGGCAGTGAAAATGACTCTGCTTATAGGTCTGTCTTGCTTTGGAACCAACAGGGAGGCCTTCTACCCTGGAAGCAAGATCAATATGAGACTGCACTGAGAGAGCCAAACTCACTTATGAGGAAATGATGACCCTACCTTCCTGTCTCTCCCAGAGATATTGCCCCTCCAGGCCCTGCTGACTCCCCGAAATCGAGTTGAGCTTTTCCTGCCTTATCTGGCTAGGAGATACATCCACAACTCCCAGTACAGTGCCTGGAAGATAGACATGCCATAAATATGAGTGTCTGAAAGGGACTAGGCAGTCAGACACTGGATCCTAAATAAGATCGCATAACCACCCTGCCTGTGTCCCACCTCAGTGCCTCTTTGGCTGCTGGAGGCAGACAGGTTTCTGGAATTGATACCAGTTTTGAGTTCATCGGGTTCTTATCCAGGGTCAGTCTAAGAATGACAAGCCCAGACAATGGGTGATTGGCAAGTGAAAAAGAAGTTTATTGAAGTAAAGAAAAGGCAGAGATGGGACTTAGAAGGACTGAGCCGTGGCAACTGCAACATCTAGAAATTTTTATCTAGCTTTTGGCATGCTTTTGGGGCGGACTTTGCAAGGCCCTGGAAACAGCTTTCTGACAAGTGGGCCCTTGGGTAAGCCCTGGAGACAGCTTTCTAAAAGGTAGGGCTTTGGGTGGGCACTTATTCCCTCCCTATCCTGAGTCCACCCTCGGATTTTCAAGGCCATTTTGTGCTATCTGTTCTTTTGCCTAACATCTGTTTCTTGCTGATTTTAACTGCTCCTTTATGGCCCCCAACCCTAATGCCTAAGATCAAGTTAGATCCTCACAGAATGCTTGGAACCACATCTTGGAGATCCAGCTCATCCTCTGGCCCCTTTTCAGAGCTTGGCTTCTCCAGAATGAATCACAGTCTCCCTTTACGTTGGAAGCTATGAAACATCTTTTGGGAGCTCTTGCTCCTCCCCTCCCAGACCCTTGGTCTGGTGACTAGTACCTGGGCAGCAGGGGGGAAGGAAATAGGAGGAGGCTCTGCAGCAGAGCCACCTGCAGGGGTTAGAGACAGGTGGTCCTGCTTGCCATGTCTAAGGAGGGACTTATAAGAGCTCTGGCTGCTGGTGCAGTGGAGACGGCAGGTAGTAGGGTCTTCAGAAGCCGGCCTGAGGCAGCCACAGTTCTTTGATCTGCAGGAACAGCTTGGCCTCTTTGTCTCTGGTGAGATGAAGTTTGCTTCTTAGGTCCTCACAAGCATGTGAGGACCGTAGCTCCTGTCCAGCCTAATGTCAACAACCCAACTCTTCCACCTCCTGCTTGACCCTTTCCATTCCTACCAGCTTTGACACCATCCCCTGTTACAGCTACTCACCAACCTTCTGTCCCCACAGAGCCTGGGTGACTTGGCAGAAGGCAGGCACAGACTGGCTGTGCTGACCGCAGGATACCAGTTCCTTTGTGTGGAGCTCCAGCAGCCCTTAAGCTGCTAAGCATTACTCACTGGAAGGAAAATACTTATTGGCTACTCTAGGAGACAGTATCTGTACCCAGGAGAGCAGAGAGGCAATTCCTCTAACACCATAGATCTCTGGGGTAGGAAGGCAGGATCTAGAGCCCTATTATGGGCATATAGCACTGTAGGTTCTATAAGGAAGATTCTAGGTATCTGATTGAACCTAGAACAGAAGTAGAGACAAAAACTCATTAGCTAAGCTTTAATTTTTTTTGACATTTTAGCAAGGATTTATTTTAGTATAACGAGATAAAGTATAGACAAGGGCCAGGGGAGAGAAAAAGAGAGAAACATTTCCTGTTCCCCATGCAGGAAATGGGAGCAAAGATTCCAAGTTTTATTTATTTATTTTTCAGATATTCTTGCTATGTGACCCAGTCTGGCCTCACACTGGCAGTCCTCCTGCTGCTTCCTCCTGAGTGCTGAGATTATAGGCATGTACCCCAGGCCCTACTCACTATTCATATTTTATGGCCTCCCACACCAAGGCATTCTGCAATCTCCCAAGGGAAAGAGAGGCAGGAGCCACAGTGATATGACTGGCAGATGTGGGGGCATCCTGGACAGTGCAGCCCTGGTCTGCTTGGGCCCATCATTGAATGAGGAGTGGGAGGAAGATAACATGGGAACTTCTGCAGCACAGCGAGTCTGCAGCCAGCCCAGCTAATGGTGCTGCCCACTTTAAGGACAGGAAGCAATTGTACCGGTTTTAGAGAGTTGGCAACAAAGATGGAAGAAACTGCTCCTTCCCCTCTCAGGTTCCAGTGTCCCAGTGGAGGACCAGGTTATGGTCACTCTGCCTTGGCAGTTGAAGTGTTCTCAGGAGACAGGAATGTCTTCATAAAGAGTCATAGCAGAAGATCAGACCAACAGGTGTGTGTTTATAGCTAGTTTACCTATCATGTAAGATGTTCACCAAAAAAGGGAGCCTTGGTTATAGTTATCCTGTATTTTGTACACACTACATTGAAAGGAAGGAAGGAATGCCTCCTTATTATATCCTGGGCCATAGGAAGGCTACACTCATTTTTGGAGTGTTTGGGTTTTTTGTTAATTGTTTAATTTTCAATTTTTATTTTGGTAGGACTGGAGTTTGAACTCAGGGCTTCATGCTTGCAAAGCAGGTGCTCTTACAACTTGAGCCACATCTCCAGCCCTGTTGTTGTTGTTGTTTGGTTTTTTTGGCTGTACTGTGGTTTGAACTCAGGGCCTCACTCTTGCTTGGCAAGCATACTACCACTTGAGCCTTTCCACCAGCCCAAGTTGTTTGGTTTTGGTGCTGGGATTACACCAGAGCCTTGTGCATGCTAGACAAGTGTTCTACAACTAAGCTATATCTCCAGTTCCCAAAATATGTTTTGTTTTGTTTTTTTGAACTCAGGGCCTTGCCCTTGCTAGCCAGGTGCTCTACTGCTTGAGCCACTCTGCCAGCCCTTTTGAGTTGGTTATTTTTGAGATAAGGTCTCACGAACTTTTTGCCCAGGGCTGGCTTTGAACCATGATCTCTGCCTTCCGAGTAGCTAGGATGCCTCAGTGCCCAGTATCTTTTAAAATTTTCCTGTCTGAGACTGGAGTCATGGCTCAGGTGGTAGAGTGCCTGCCTCTCAAGCATGAAACCCTGAGTTCAAACTCCAATACTGCCAAAATTTTCCTTTCTGTGTTGGAATTTCCTCATGCCATACATATTTGTTACTGAAGACATGTATTAAAAGAAGTGGGATACCTCACACTGCTTGGTTCTTTTACCAAGTAGCTCTTGGATTTATTTTTTACCAGCACATATAAATTTACTTCATTTATTCTGATGGCAATATAGTATTTCATTATATGGATGTGCAAAATGTATTTTTAACCAGTTCTTTGATTAATTGAATAGCCTTGTAAGTCTTTGCACACCTATGCAACCATTTTTATAAGATATATTTACAGAATTGGAGTTGCTGTGTCAACCATTTGCATTTTTGATGGACAGCACCAAATTGTCCTCTAAATATCTTGTACCAGTTTCCATGGCAGTTTCTTCTCATGTCACCCTCTTTTTTTCTGCAGGATGAATCAGGCACCAACTGTGGGCTTTGAGCGGGATGTTGGCAGCCGAACCACCCACCATTTCATGTACCCTGAGAGTGCCAAGAATCTGCCTGCCAATGTTAGCTTTGTGTTGGTGCCCTTCAAGGCCCTGGACCTACTGTGGATTGCCAGTGCCCTGTCTACGGGGCAGATCCGATTGTGAGCCTCTTTGCTGGCTAAGAATAGAATATGGGTGATAGCACTACCTGTGAAACATCTCCCTGGGGTCTGGGTTACAGAATTCCTTCAACTGAATATTTTGTCCAAAAAAGGCTAGTGAGGAGGGAGGGCCTAAAATGATGGATTGGCTAAGCACACAGCTTGTTCTGTGTCACTTCCTGCATGGTGCCATCCAGTATACTAGAGGTGAAAAAGTAAAGAAAGGACAGTCTGGTTTTGGTTTCCTCCAGAATTAGCTCCTGACTGTGGGAGCTCTGCCTAGCTGTCCCACCATAGCTGGGAACCATGGGAAATCCAATTTACTGAGGTGTTTTTTTTTTTTTTTGGTGGGACTGAGGTTTGAACTCAGGGCTTCACACTTGCAAAGCAGGTGCTCTCTACTGCTTGAGACACATCTCCAGTCCATTTTGCTGTGATTATTTTGGAGATGGAGCCAGCAAACATGAGGCCCTGAGTTCAAACCCCAGTACTGCCAAAAAAGCCCTAATTTTTTAAAAGAAAAAATAAGTTATAGTTTCCTGATTTTAGGATGTTCATTATCTTACATTTGGGAGGCTGGAGGGCTAAGTTCAGTGCTGTGGACTTGAAGTTACATACCTCAGAAAAGGCAGTGTAGGTTACAGAAGCCATGACTGGTAAAGAGGGAAGTGAGGTTCAGGTGAAGCCTGAGGGCAGTAAAGAGAGAGTCATTCTGAGCAGAGGTATGCACACAAATGTGGATTTGAGGTGTTCAGCTAATCCAACTACAAAGTTCTCAGAAGACAAGGGGAAGAAGGGTTGGGGCTGATTATGGTGGTCCCTAGGTAGGACTTGTCTAAAACATCCCTGTTTTATCCTGAATGATATGGGAGCCACTGAAAGGTTCTGATCAAGGTACTACAGTGATGACTGTGCAATGGGGACAGTCTGGAAGCAGATCAGTCTGGAAGTTGTGAGGCTGCCATCATTCTGTCTTGAGAGGGAAGAGAGGCATCTCTAGATCCCATGGACCATCTGAAATGTTATCTTTTTATCTGCTTACAGCACCTATGCCCCAGTGAAGTCCTTCCTTCGAGTAGACAAAGAAAAGGTAAGTTCCCCACCACTTCCCCCTTTTTGGTCCCCATCTCTGTTGAAACAGTGATGACCTCACTCATAGTGTACTCAGTCCCATAGCTCAGGAGTGCCCTCCCAGCACCTTCAGAATCCCCATCTGCTGGTATGCCTGAGCCTACCATTGACCACAGGAGCCAAGTAGCACCCACATTCTGTACTGCTGACAAGCACTTAAGAACTTATAGAAGCTGCACAGAACCTAGCCTGAGTCTCTGGGCCCTCAAATTCCTCATGTGTCTGTTACCTTTTTCTCCTCCCAGGTTCAAATCTACAACCCAGCATTCTTCAAGTACATTCACGACAGGTGGACAGAGCATCATGGGCGGTACCCTTCCACAGGGATGCTAGTGCTCTTTTTTGCCCTGCATGTGTGTGATGAGGTAGGTAGTAGACCTCAGTCCCAAGGTGAAATAATCAGTAGAGCAGGGAAGCAGCTAAATTTGCATTTCTGAAACATTGTTACTTTGATGATTTTATCAAATCTAAAACCACTTCATTGAAAAATTAAATTTATGGCCAGCCACTGTGGCACCTGTAATCCCAAGCTACTGGGGAGGCCAGGGGAACACCTGCCCCAAGAGTTTAAGGCCAGCCTGAACTACACAGTAACAGGTTACTTGCCATAAAGGAAGGGTAACCATCAACAAACAGAATGAAATGTAACTGCAAACAGCCTGCAGCCTCAGGCCTACTCTGTGTTAAAAGTGCAAGGGGGTGGGGGATGGAGGAGAGGACACTGCTGTCTTTAATCCCAGCATTTGGGAGATGGAGACAAGAAGTTTTTTCGGTTGGAGGCTGGCCTGGGTTACACAGCCAGATTCCCAGATCCTGGTTTTGGTTTAATTTAAAATACAGGTTAGTCATCCAAAGAACTGCATTTCTTTAGTGGGCCAGTGGTACAGTGGGCATCTGCTCAAACCCGGCCACACCCATTTTGCCAACTTTTGCCAGTAAATTCACTATTACGATATTGGATATGTGATCAGCTTTCAAATAAAACCTCGCTATTTAAGTTTTTTCTAAAAAGGAAGGGGGGTTGTGCAGGAGAACTGAAAAGGGAACAGTGTCCCCCGCTTGTGAACTGGTAAGCTGCCAGCCTTCCAGGCTGCTGTCTCCGGTGATGCTCCCTTGTCCTCCCCGACGCGCGGTGACCCTACGCTGTCCTCCGCAGGTGAACGTATATGGGTTCGGGGCCGACAGCCGAGGCAACTGGCACCACTACTGGGAGAATAACCGGTACGCGGGCGAGTTTCGGAAGACCGGTGTGCACGATGCGGACTTCGAGGCTCACATCATCGACATGCTGGCCAAGGCCAGCAAAATCGAGGTCTACCGGGGCAACTGACTAGGGCCTGGCCGCGACCCTTTCTGCCCAGCCGCGAGGCGCGGGGACGCGCTTCGGCTCTGGGCGTCACCAGGCAATCATGAGCGACGCCAGGACAACGTCTGGACCAGTCAAGCTGTAGTCCAGCGAGTGCCTGCTGTCTGTCAATCACGAGACCCTGTGGGTCGGTTCGGGCCCGGCACCAATCAGCGCTGTAGTCGGGCGGAGCTTGTTTCTCTCAGCCAATGCTGCGACTCGAGAACTTCCGGTGCTGGCCGTCTCCTCCAATCAATGGCCTTCGGAGGCGGGCCAGCGGCCCCTCAATCCCCTTCCCTTCTGCTTTTGGATAGGATTTTGTTTTCCGCTTTTTAAGAAGTTGAGGCTGCTTAGGGCCTCGCTTGAGTACTTTTCTCAGGCCCGAGAGGAGGAGCGTCTTAGTCGCTGGCCGGCCTGACTCCACTAGAGGCACCAAGAAGGAAGTGCCAGGGAAGGGTCAGGGTTGGGTGGCGGCCTTGGGTGCTACCTGGACCGCCAGGATGGCCTGTCGGAGTGGGGGTGGGGGTGGGGGTCAGGGAGGCGTCCACCGAGGCTGTGGACGAGAGACAGTGCGCCTCACCCCAGGAGAAAAGCTGGTGTCCCCAAATCCGAGAGCATTTTAGACTGCACATTTCCTTTCTCCATCAGGCCCAGATGAGTGAGTGCAAACCCACCAAAGAAAGGCGGTCATGGTGAAAATCCAGAGGGCAAATGGGACCTCCTGCTTCCCGCCTCCCTTTGCAATGGCCTCTCTGACCAGGGCATTTCGTGTCTCACCAGAAACTAGGGAATTGTATTCACCCCATGCTGAGGGGTAGACTTGCCTAGGGTCTAACTCTGTAACAGAGGTGTCAGGAACAGGGCAGGGGACCAGGAAGCCCTGTCACTTCACATGTAAGGTGCTTCTCTCACTATGCCCTCGTCCCTACTATTCACCCACAACCTTTTTAGTGTCTCTCAGGCCCTGGGCCTCCTCACCATCCTACGAGTTGCTCTTGGAAAAAATCAGGAAACTTGTCCTGGGATTGGGGCCCTATTTGTTTCTGTCTCCTTTCTCTCCCTCTTCCTCTCCCTCACCCTCCCTTCCCTTCCCCTTTCTCCCTCTTCCCCCTTCCCCCTCTCTCCTGTCTCTCTCTCTCTCTCTCCTTCTCTCCCTCCCTCTCCCCTACACACACACACACACACACACACACACACACACACACACACACACTCACTCACTTATACACACCCCTCTTTAGCTGGCCCTAGGGCAAGAGAGGTTGGAAAGCAGGCTAAAGAGGAGAGCCCAACCGCCTGTGCATGCACGTTTTTTTCCTTCATCCTCTTGCTTGGGGGTGGAATTTGCTTTGGGCTCATACTTTAGTTACTGTGAAAGCTGTCAACCACAAGATTCCGTCACAATTCTAAGCAGGCCATGCAGGTAGCCCTGAGCCTTGCTGGGGAGTAGCAGAATTGTGGCTGCCCGGCATGCCTCCCCTCGTCTCTCCACACCCCTACTCTGCTCACCTCCTTCCTCCTTCCAACCCTCTTTCCTTTCCAGCTCCAGAAGGTTTGGGAAGTCAACAACCAGGGATTACAACTGGAAGCTACTTGTGTGACTGGACCCAACCAAGTCCCTAGAGGAAGCTGCTTATGGTATTCTAACCTTCTAGATTGGGGAAGTTTAGCGGGGAGAAGGGGCTTCTGTGAAGCTCTCAAACCATGGGAAGGATCCTCCTTCCCAATAGTGATGACTCAAATACTGCTCTTAGTGAGTTGACACCACCAAGCAGTCTCCTGGTTGCTGCAGCTGGTTGTGGGACAGTCACCCACAGGGGAGAGGGTTAGAGGAGGGTGGGGGTGGATCACTGAGCACCCCTGAAAATTAATATATTGGTAAGTTAGCTTGAGTCTTTTTCCTTCCCAGTTCCAAGAGTAGGCAGGGTAGAAAATGGGGCGGAATGGGAGGGACTGTGGTAGAACCCCTTTCTCAGGGTTCCCTATTTGGAGAGTCAAGGCACCAGCTGTTCTATTCTTGCCAGTCTCATCTCTGCTTCTGCAAGAGGCTGTTTTGAGTGTTCAGAAGATGAAAAATAATGCAATTATGCCAAACAGTATTGAGCAGAATAATTTATTTCTTTTTTGATTCTTTTTCTATCTGTTTTGTTTAAACCATTAATCACCATCCAGGAAGAGGTAGGTCCCAGCACCCAGCCCAGATCTCTTTTTCTTCAATAGTTATTTAAACATTTTTTATTTCCTTCCCTTTCTCTTTCTGAATTAAAAGAACAACAACAATCTACAATCATTTGTCTGTTCTGAAATCTATACAATCACAGAGAGAATGGGGAGCTGTGACCAAGTGATGGCTAAGGAGTTTGGGAAGACATGGATGGATAACGACAATTTCCTACACCCTTCCCTTACACAGAAGGAGCCTGGTTTTGAAGACTGCTCTCTGTCCACCCCAAGACACTTAAATCTGAGAGACTGCAAGTATTTTGGTTAAAAATAAACTTGTCCTCCAGATTTCTCCAAAGGAGGAATTAGTTGAAAAGAATTTCTGGCAGGAACTTTCTGCACTGGCTGTCATAAAGCCACTCTGGCCTGTCCCATAAATGCAGGGTCTCCATTAAAGGCTCGGTGCATTTGGGCATGTCCCACGCTGGACCATCCTCATCTTCCCGTGGTGAGGTCATCCCCAGTTTTCCTGGCTTTGGCATGGTTCTGCTGTGTCTGCAGCCTACTCCCACCACACCACAAAGTGCCCACAGCTTGTTGCAAGTGCCGTGAGTGCTGTGCTACACTTCATTTTGGAGAACTGCTAGAGGCAGAGTTCCTCTGTCAGTCTTGCATATCATTAGGGAAAAGATGGATGCTTAAATTTCAGTGGGTAACTGAATAGCCATTGGGAAAAGACAAAGTTAGACCCAGATAAAGTTAGATCCTTAAATTCACTTACCAAAATAAATGCCAAATGGATCACAGAACAAAATGTAAAAAATAAAACCCCCATAGTGGTAGCTTTTTGATATATTCTATATATGTATCTACAGCTTTAGTTGGTTTTTTAGATTGGGATTTTTTTTTTTCCCATGCTTTCTGGTTCCCCTTATTGAAAGGGAAAAACATTGTGTTCTAAACATTTTGTTAAATTCCTAATCTATGGCTATAATTATCCCTATCTGCTTGTATGAGTTTATACCTTTTTTTTTTTTTTTTGGCAGTACTGGGGTTTGAGCTAAGAGCCTCACACTTGCTAGGCATGAACTCTTACTGATTAAGGCACTCCACCAGCCCTTTTGTGTGATGGGATTTTTCCAGATAAGGTCTCACAAACTATTTGCCTGGGCTGACCTCAAACCATGATCCTCATGATCTCTGCCTCCTGGGTAGCTGGTAAGGCACCTGGCTTACCTTTTTCATTCCTACAGCCTTAGTGAGGTTATGGGACATGTGAGATTTCACCATGTATTTAGCAAACACCTTTTTCTGCCTTGATTTCCTGGTCTCCACAGATTCCCCACACACAAACATCAGTTGCTTGTTTCACCACTCTCTGTCACAGTGGAGACTTCTGAAGTCTGGAAATGGAAGACTATGCTCTTTGCTGAAATAGTGGATCAACTGGGGAAAATTGCTTGCCAGTTTTGTGTACATGACTGGGGCTTATCAATGGTCAGGATTGACATTAGGGTGGTATACAGAGAGTTGGCCATCACCTGGAGTGGAAGGTGCTTAAGATGAACTAGGTTATGGTGCAGTAACAACAACCCCCCAAACCCCAAACTTTGAGTGGCTTGAAACAGCAAAGTTTACACCTCACACAAGTCACACCTCCATAATAGCCACTCAGTGGCTCCATCTAAGATGGATTTCTGATCTTAAGGGCAGGGGAAAGGAAAGTTGGTGAGCTACACGTTGACTCAGGCTTCTGTGAAGTTTGTATCCTTGAGGCTAAACCAGTCTCACAGCAGAGCCTCAGTGTGTCAGGGCAGTGTGTGGTCTGCCTCTGGGCAAGGTGCCATATTTGGATGCACTAACATAGCTAATTCAGACAGCTCTTTGGAGAGAAGCCCCCGGCTTTATGGTCTAGGGTGGGGTGGGGAGACACACACCTGACTTGTGCACTGGCAGAGTGCCAAGAGAAGGGAAGGAAGCAAACATTTTAACCAACTTTGGAACATCTGCAGGCTACCATTCAGCAGGCAAGAAACTTCTACTTCCTATGACATGTTTGGCTAGGTAGGAAAACACTGTTCCTTGCTTGGCAGGTATTGGGGGTTGGGTGGGGAGAGTCAAATCCCAAAACTGTATTTTCAAAAATCAAGTGATTCCAGGTTGGGAGTTCAGTTCAAGCAGTAGAGCACTAGCCTAATAAGCATGAGTCTGTAAGTTCAAACCCTGGGTGGGGATCAAATCCAAAAGCTTGCACATGCTAAGTGACAGATTATTCCTTTTTGACTGAATTAGGAACCAATGCTCTTGTCCATTACCCTCCTAGAAAAAACACAGCTTCTGCAGTTGGTTTATGCCTGGGTAACAACCAACCCACAAAAATGCAAAAGGATGTTCCTCTGCCCCTCACTCCACCCCCAAGCTTGCTGAACAGTAGGTATCAAGGACCAGCGTGGTCCCCTGAGAATATAGGATTAATATCTTTCCTCTAACAACTGTTTCTGCTCCTGAGAATAGTACAGGCTCTTGTGGCAGATGGCTTCTCCTGGGAGGAAGCTTGTGAAGTAGAAAGAACATAAGGTGCCTGCACTCAGGGGTCTGAATGCTATTCTACCTTTGCTACAAAATGACATTGTCTTTTCTTCCTTTTAAATAACAAAATAGCACATATTCATTACAAAACGATTTAAGCAGATACAGGAAGTAAAAACTGGGAGGCCTCCCTGCAGTATTTCTTTTATATCTATCACTTGTCATAAAGTGGGTAGAGAACCATAGCTGAATGGAGGACATTGGCCCATGTGGATGGCTGGCCCAGTCACTGAGTTGTGTCCACACCTCTGTTCCTGTGAGGCCCCAGTGAGCACACACCAGAGACAACTTCTGGGAAAAGTCTGAAAGCTCAGCTGTCTTTGCTATCCATGGAAATAATTAAAATTTTATGACTTAGCATACTTAAAGTATTTTAAAAGTTATCAAGTTACTTTAACTGAGTGATCAAGGTTGATATCACTAGTCTATACTAATACAAATACATGATTAGATAAGTTCATCAGTGAGGGAAAAGAGACACATCTCTCACAGAAGAATATTTTTGGTGGTGGTACTGGGGTTTGAACTCAGGGTTTTGCACTTGCAAGGCAGGCAAACTGCTTGAACCACAACTCCAGCTCTCACAAAAGAATTTTATTTTTATTTTTAGCAGTACTGGGGTTTGAACTCATGGCCTCATGCTTACTAGGCTCTCTATCACTTGAGCCACTCCAACAGCCCTTTTTTTGTGTGTGGTTTTTTTCGAGATAGGGTCTCACGAACTATAGGCTTGGAGCTGGTTTTGAACCATGATCCTCCTGATCACTGCTTCCTGAATGGCTAGGATTACAGGCATGAGCCACCCAGCACCCGGCTCACAGAAGAATTTTAAATAATTGCTGGACATGGTGGTGCAAGTCTGTAGTACCAGCTACTTGGGAGGTTGAGACAGGAGGACTAGCCTAGGCAACATAGCAAGATCACACACACACACACAAAGAACAGAATTGCAAATAATTTAACTACTCCACCCTCGGAAGGAGAGCCTAACACCTCACTAGTTAGGTGTGGGCTGCACACAGTGACTTCCAGAGTGCAGTATGGATGGGGGGAAAAGAAACTCTGCAGGGGAGAGACCTGACACTCAGGTGATCAAAGTCAACATCAAATGATGACAGATTTTTTTTTTCCAAAGGAAATGCTTTATTTACTAAAAGGGCTTTAATGGCATAGAAGGGCGTGGCATGTCTCCAAAGACATACAGTAGATGAAGTTTCTCACTGCTTGTGAGCTCTCTTTAGCCCTCTCTGAAGCTCTCCCCATCTCCCACTCCCCAAACCTGGAACTGGAATAGGCCTTAGGAGGCACCTGTGGCCTGGAAAAGGCAGTGCCCAATTCTCAACACTGTCTTGGCAGCACTCTCCCAGCAGGTTCGGCCATTTTATTTTGGGTAAAGGAGAATGTCTGCCACCCCAGATGACCTCAAAATGGACAAGATCAGTTTTGAGAATTTTTTCTTTTTTTTTCCACTAGGCCAGCAGCCTCCCTCCCCACGACGAGACTCCGGAAAGGATGACAATCTGGTCACGGATCCAGGGAGGGAACGAAAGCGGCTGGGCTGTCGGTGGCTCACGCTGCTGTCCGCTCTGCTCGGCTCGGGATCCCGCAGCTTGCGGCCAGGCTGCGGCGTCCAGCACATCGGCGGGCCGGTGCCGGGCCACGAAGCACGCGTCGTCCCCGTGGCCCGCGCCCTTCTTGAGGAGGCCCTTACGGAAGTCCGTGCCGACGCCGCAGCCCGACGTCACCAGCCCGAAGTCGCCGCCGCCACCGCCACCGGCCCTGGGTCTGCGACAGGCCGCCGAGCATGGCGCGGGCCACCAGCCGCCCGTCCCAGAGTACCGAGGACATCGCCGCCGCCGCCCCCTCCGAGGAGGCGAGGGGCCGAGCCGCAGCCGCACGCACCGGAGCCAGGGCGAGGTCAGAGCCGGCGGCTCCCCCGCCTTAACCCCAGTCGGCCCCGCTGCAGCCGCGATACCGCCGCCATCTTCCGCTCCGCTAGCGTGCTCGCGGCCGGGGCCGCAGCCCCGCCCCCTGCCTGACCACGCCCCCAGCCCCGCCCCTGTCAGACCACGCCCCAGCCCCGCCCCCCGCGACCCCATGATGGGCATCTTTGATGTGATGAAAATATTTAACCCCCATGGCCTTTTCTTCCTCTCAGTAACTCCTAGCCACAGCCTAATCTTGAGAACATCAGACAAACTACAAAATCCCTGACCAACACAACGCTGGCAGGGGCACTGATAAGAACTGCCCCTTCTGCAGCCCAAGCCGCAGCTCGTTCTCCCCGTGAAGAACAAAGCCCCGTTCCTCATCTCCCACCACCTTCCTTTGCCCGCCCCTAGACCTTGCTTCAGCAGTTTGTCTCATCCCTTGCAGAACAAAGCCCCACTGTCCCTTATCTCCTGCCACCTCTCTCAAGTGCTACTTAAGGCCAGACCCGCGGAGAGAAGCTGCTGCGCCATTTTCTCTCTGCCAGCCTGCTTAGTAAACTTCTGGACAGAGACCTCTCCTGAGCCTCCTTTGTGTGCGGTGTGCCGCGTTTTCCTAACAGTCACCAGTGCCAAGTGTGAGAAACTGCCAGAGGAGCAGGACAAAGACGACCACATGGACCGTGGATCCTCCAACAGAGAAGGGGCTGTAGGGGAAGCTGAGTCGAGCACCCTGCGGACTTTGGTTAACAGCCACGTACGGTGTGTCAACATTGCTTCCTTAATTGTAGTAAGTGCGGCATGCTAATAACCTCAAATTAACGACGGGAACCAGCGGGCTGAGTATGTAGATACACACTCAGGGATTCACGCTTGCTTTACCACTTGGGCCACACCTCCAAGTCCAGAAAGAAAGGCTTTTTTTTTTTTTTTTTTTTTATGTGCGTGTGTGATGCTAGGGACCAAATTCAGAGCCTCACGCATGCTAGGCAAATGCTCTACCACTGACATTCATCTCCAGTTTTTGTTTTTGGAGACAGCTCACTATGTAGCCCAGGCTGGCCTCAAACTCAAGTTCCTCCTGCCTCAGTCTCCCAAGTCCTAGGGTTTACAGACATGTTTCACCACACGTTTTATTCTTGTCCTTAAGGGTACAATTAGGATTAAAAATCTAGGACTTCCATCCATTGTGCTTATTTCAAGGGCTACCTTTCCCACTTCTAAAATTTGTATCTGCATTGGGTTTTTCGTGGTGAACTGACTTACAGCATTTGCTGATTCCTGTGGTGTAAATACCCAACCTGGTCAGTGTCAGGCTACCATGACTTAACAGGCGCTTGTGAAAGGACACACTACTGCTTTTGCCTAAGTTTATTTCATAATTTTGTTTTCTTTATAGTGAAAAAGTGGGGTGAAACCCTGAGTTCAAATCCCAATCCCACCAAAAACAAAAAACAAAAAACTGAAGTGGGGGCTCAATGGTAAAGCACATGCTTAGTATGTTTCAACCAAAAGAGACGAAACAAAAAGCCACGGGCATTGGATTTTCTTTTCTCTTTAAGAATCCAGATATCGTTTACCTGGCCATTCCGTAAGACTTACTTTACCTACAGTGAACTCTTTTGATCTATTGTGCAGACTTTCTTAGCATCAGACCCATCATGCCCTTTGGAATTTTAGTTTTCAGGTTTTTTTTTTTTTTTGGTGGGACTGGGGTTTTGAATTCAGGACTTCACACTTATTCTACCACTCGAGCCACATCTCCAGTCCATTTTTCTCTGGTTATTTTGGAGATGGGGGTCTTGCAAACTATTTGCTTAAGCTGGCCTCTAACCTCAATCCTTCCAATTTTAGCCTCCCAAATAGCTAGAATTACAGGTGTGAAACACTAGCACCTATCTAAAAATCCAGATTTCTTAAAAAGTGGCATCTAACATTAAAATTAAAATCTGGGGGAACTGGGGTGTAGTTCAAGTGGTGCAGTGCTTGCCTAGCATGCACAGCCCTGGGTTCAAGATTTCCAGTATGGCAAAATAATAATCTTTTGTGTAGCACTAAAAAAATGAGCTTCTAAAGACAAACTAAGAAACCAAATATGGGGGGGACAAAGGAGAACGATGGAGGGGGTGAATTTAATATATATTGTAAACACTTTTGTAAATGTCACAATGTACCCCCAGTACAATAATATATTAAACAAATCTACAACTAAGGACAAAGTCTTATTTCCCTACTATACAAAGGTTGCCAAAAATCCAATAAAATGGTAAGCCAGGAATGGGCAGCTCCCAGAAAGAAATTAATTTATTGGATAATTGTATTTATTTGCCAAGCCTCACTAAAGAAAAAAAAGCAATGACATATATTGATTTTCCTACTTAGACTGGTAAAGTTTTAAAAATTAGTAATATAGAGCTGGCGAGCAGGTTTTTTTTTGTTTTAGGACTGGAGTGGTTTTTTTTTTTTTTTTCAGTACTGGGGCTTGAACTCACAGCTTTCATCTTCTTCATCTTGAGCCACTCCACCAGTCCTATTTTTGTGAAGGGTTTTTTGAGATAGGGTCTCATGAACTATTTTCCCAGGTTTTGAACCAAGATCCTCCTGATTTCTTCCTCCTGAGTAGCTAGGATTATAGGTGTGAGCCACCAGTGCCTGGCAGGGCTGGTGTTTGAACTCAGGGCCTTGTGCTTGCAAAGCAGGCACTCTACTGCTCGAGTCACACCTCCAGTCCATTTTGCTCTGGATATTTTGAAGATGGGTCTCATGAACTATCTGCCCATGGTGGCTTCAAACCTTGATTTTCCCAATGTCAGCCTCCCAAGTAGCTAAGACTATAGGTGTGAGCCACTGGCCCCTTGTAGCAAGCAGGTGTTTTGTTTTAGGCAGTACTGGGGTTTGCACTTGCTAAACAGGCACTTTACTGCTTGAACCAAGGCCTTCAGCCCAAGTTGGCAAGCAGGTAAGAGGATAAAATTATTTTTGTATTACTGCAATTAACATAAATTGGAAAAACCTTTTTGGCAGACGTAAATTGGCAATGAATTGGCTTTAAATGGTCCTGTTTCATGACCAAACAATTCTACTTTCAGGAATATATCCTAGAGTGATTCTGACCAGGGCTCCAAGACTAGGAAAAGGTACTTTACTCACCATGATGGCCATCACTGGGGGAACAACTGAAATGAACGCTAGGACAGCTATACGCTGCAGTGGCAGCCATCTTCCAGAGTGAGATACGTGTGTGCGTGCTGGACGTGTCAACATGTCCAAGATAAGCCAGTAAGTTAAAAAACAAACAAAAAAACAGGTTGCATGATAGTATGAAGAGAATGTCTACACTTTTGTAAAAGCAGGTTGATTTTTTGATATGGGGAAATGTTCAGCAAGCTGGTGGCAATGGTGAACTCTGGGAAGGGAGGCACCGAGGACATGTTCGCAGTATACAGACACACGTTTTTAATGAGCTTATATTAGTCTAATAAGCAGAAAAATACAAATACCAAATCATGATTAGTAAAGCGTTCTCATAATTACTTTAAAATTTCTTATAATGAATGATGTGTATACCTATAATTTATCCGTCCTTATTCATACGGACAATGTATGAATTAAGTAACCCATAAAGTCCACTATTATGGATAACTGCATAATTAGAGTTTTTCCTTTCCAAACTGCTTCTTGGCTTTAGGCACAAAATGACGACCCATGGATTAGAACCAACTAACTGGACCAGGCAGTTGAGAAAACCACCCAGTGTCTCCTGGCTGCCACAACTGAGTACCAGGTGCAGAGTGGCTAATATGACTGGTGGAAGGCAGGCCTAGATCCTGGAAGGATGTGACCACTCTGACAGACAAATCTCTCTCACAAGGCTGTGACTTCCGAGTTTCTTTCCCCAATCTGAAGAATACAAAAGTAGCCAGGATTCGAATCAGGGAGAAAGAGGGCCAGCTTCTGTCCCAGAGCAGGTAAAAGAGACCTGGAATGTCTCTGAATTTCAGGAGAATAAAGACAGCCTCAGGGCATCCAGTAGGGTTGGAGGGCAGCACAGGGGACTCAGCCCCAATCCCTCCACTACATCCATGGTGATGGGGCCACACCGTGTCTTCCCCAACTCTACCAACCACCTCTACCTCTATCATCCCTTCAGGGCTGGAAGCAGGTCCTAACACCACAGTCAGAGGACGCAGGTGTCCTGTGATCACCAATGACAACCAGATGACTAAACTGGGCAAACTGTGGTTTAAAAAAGGGTCAGGGTGGGGAAGGGGGGATTATTTACCAAAATGCAAAATTTTCCTTTGATTTTCTCCTGTTGTTTGCACAACTTTTTGTCCAGTCCAGACGTAATTTTGAATGAGGTAGGTAGTTTTTCTACTCGTGCCTTCGTCTTTGAGGTGACCATCAAGGCCTATGCCATGAAAGCACTAGTGTCCCGAGCAGGGGCAGGGGCAGCGCAGAGAGTGGGCACCAGTGACTGGTGGAGCTTCTCAGTTGGCTATTTTCTCAATCTCATCCAAATCATCTGTGTCCAGTCTTTCTATCTTCTTATCTGGGGGAAAAAAAGATTTGAAGGGAGACCAATGTGGAGTTACTAAGGAGACACAGTTGAAATCACCTAGACCAGCACAGCAGGGATATGGAAGGACACAGTTCCCTGCCAAGGCACGCATCATACTTTGGGTCACAGTGATGCTTCCTCTAACCACAAAAGAAGGTCTTCAGAGGAGGGGGCAACAGGACCCTGGTCACTGGCACCGACAGTCAATGCCCTGTCTCCCAGCCTGGCCTCGGGAAAACTGCCATTCTAGTTCCTGAAAAGGTCCAGGTGGTGATGAAGGGAGGGGAGCGTGAGCAGGGACACAGGCCTCTCTCAAGGCCACAGGAAAACCCTCCCTTCCTCTCCCCTCCACAAAGAGGATGCTGGGCAGAGCACCTCCAAGGGACTCACTAAAATGCTCCTGGATTCTGTTCAGGATGTCCATGCTGTGCTTGCTGTCAATCATGTTCACAGCCAGGCCCCTCTTGCCAAAGCGGCCGGTGCGCCCGATCCGGTGGAGGTAGGTCTCATTGTCTGGGTTCCCGTCCTTGTCCACAGGAAGATCGAAGTTGATGACGACAGACACTTGTTCGACATCGATACCTGCACGTGGGCAGGGGGAGGAGAGAGACAGAGGAGTCAGGGTGGGACACAAAGTCACTCACAGTCAGCCATACCCACTTCAGGTGGAGGGAGGGGGACCTGGGACAGGCCAGCTCTGGATGTAGGCACAAGAAAGGGCGCATACAGGCCTGTAGCAGAACCGGGGAGAGGATTCTGGCACTGCCAAAAACCCCTCTGAAGTCAGAAAGCAAGTCTCTAGACTCAAGCATCTGGAGACACAGCTGAATACCCGGTGGTTTCCAGGAAAAGCAGGCTCGGTTCCCAGCACTCAGAGCCTGTGCATCTCCTTCCCCAGGGCAGCCCTCCTGGATTGTGTATCAGTTCCCGTCACTTGGGAAATCCAGTCTCTGCTGCAAAGAAATGTCCCTACCAAGCCCTGAGACCATGGAAATGAGAAATTCTCTTGCTAACATGGCCGGGGATCCTGAGCCTGGCACACCAGGAAAGTCTCTGCTCACCGCGGGCACACACGTTGGTGGTCACAAGAACCTTCTCTTTGCCCTCTCGGAAGCGCTCGATCACAGCAGCCCTCTGCTCCACCATCATTTCACCACTCAGCAGAGCCACTTGGTGGCCTTCTTTTGAGAGCTCTGCTGCCAGCCAACTAGCTGTTTTGCGGGTCTGGAGTGAAAAGTATTGTTTTAAATTAAGAGACCTATTAAAAAACATATATGTATATATATATATATATCCACAAACATGTGGCTTATCACTATTACAATACACAAGGACCTTGAAACTCTGGGGTTAGGCTAAAAATTCTCATATAGAATTTTATCCATGTGATTTGTTTAGATGAATCAAATAACTGCTCTTTAAATCTTGGAAGACTATGAATTGAGCTGCAGAACTTCATTTCTAAATAATCTGTATCATTCATGATTAAAAATTATATAATTGGATATTATTTGGGATTTTTTTTAAGGTATTGGGCCCCTGTGCACAGACCCTGTGGTCTACCACTGAGCTACACCTACAGCCCATAATTTGGCGTTATTTTTAAGCAGTCTTTAAAGTGGGATGAAAAAAGTTCACTTGAAACTCAAAAACCCAAGGAAACTGACTAGGAATAGGGGACTGTCATTTCCTTCTTTACAGTTTCAGACAGGGGGATTAGATCCTTCTCACCCAAGAGGAGTGGAGCGGCTCTGCCGGCCTGCAGCTGCTACTCACATGGCAGAAGATCATAGCTTGAGCGATGGTGATGGCCCCATACAGGTTGCACAAGGCCTGGAACTTCTCGTCTCTGTTACTGCACAGGACGTAATATTGCTTGATGGTGTCCAACGTCTCCTCCTCACGCTTCAGTTTGATAACATTGGGGTCTGGGACCACTTTCTGCGCAAACTTCCACACGGAGTCTTCAAAGGTGGCGGAGAAAAGCAGCATCTGGCAGTTCCTGGGCAGCATCCTGTAAGGCGAGGCCCAGGCAACTTTGCTCAGCCTCCAGGTTTTTACCGCAAGGAACAGAAGCTCAGTCTCCCCTGTTTGGGTGGGCTATGGCCCCAGCAGGCTGTAAGGGGTGAGGGCAAAACACCTCGGGCAGGAGGAGCAGAGCCAGGGTGGTGCTGGGCTGGCTTAGGGTCCCAGGTCTCCTTTCTCAACCAGGCTGGAAGCATCGTCAGTGCTGATGAGGAAATGGCCCACCAAACAAGTGCTGCTGCAAGTAGCAGAATGAAGAACCCAACAGAAGCAAGCGGAGGTGTGTCAAGATCCCCCTGGCTCAAGCTCCTACCTCTGGATGCGGATGCTCTGATCTTGGTGGCCCTGAGTAGCTATCATCACGTCCGCCTCATCCAGAACAAACACCTTGATCTTCTTGGGGTCAATGAACTTGAGCTTGGAGCACCAGTCCAGGACAGTGCCAGGAGTGCCGATGACAATCTGCTCACTGATCTTCTGACCTCTTTCCACTGTGGAGATGACATGTTTTCTGTGGGTATTTCAAAGGCAAAGGCAGCTCTGGAATCAAAGCCCTGCCCATCCCTCCAGGACTAGTAGAACATGTTAATTCCAAACATCAAAACACATACACATACCCTCAAGCCTTGATTTATTCTACTGTGAAGTGAGTAAAATGACTCCCGTCTCAGTGGTTTGTGGTCAGGACTAAATTCCACACCACAGACCCTCAGCACATGTCAATAGCTTCTGCACTTCCTCTTAGAATTCAACATCATACAACTCTTTCTCTTCACCATTAGTCTATTTCTTTGCACCTACTCAAGCATGGTTCACTGAGTTCCCCCTAAGCTGGTAGTTTTGAGTCCCAGGATTCTAGAATCCATGATTCTTTGCTATTTTCTGGTCTCTAGACATTTAATTGTCTAACTAATTTTCATAAGTACAAAGAACTTTGATTGAAAAAACATTGCATTACCTTCTAACTATAGATGGAGTTGAAACTGAAACAACCATTCATCAAAATTACAATGCCCTCTGATTAAAACTTCCCTCTGACTAAAATTCCACTATTAGAAATGAATTCTACAGATATATCCATGCTTGTAAGAATATGCACACAGCAGAAGAGCTGATTAGTGAAATACAATATACCCCTGGATGGCACCAAAAAAAAAGTGTGAAAAGTGTTTAGGAACCAGTAAGAAATAACCTCCTGCATGTGTGCACATGGACATGAGCACGCGAACACTTTTTTTTTTTTGAGATGACCAGGGTCTTGCTATGTAGCCCAGGATGGCCTCAAACTCACAATCCTCCTACCTCAGCCTCCCAAATTCTGGATTACATTACAAGCATGCACCTCCATTTTCTGCCAAAATATATTATCAAAAATAAAAATGTTAGTTTGTATACGGAAAACGGCAAAAAAGATGCATGTAATATATGTAAACACATGTCAACACGCACTGTACATGTACTCACATTCATACACATGTGCACATATATACACATATCCCTTATCTGTCAACAAATAAGAGTATCTCTGGTAGAACACAGGAAAGGGTAGTGCTAGTTACTTCAAGGGAAGGGAATTAGGTGGCTCGAGGCATGGGAGAAAGAAAGGTTTCTAACACAGACCCTTTTTAACTTTAAAACATGTAAATGTGTTCACAATCTAAAAAATACATAAAATTTAAATATTAAATATCCAGATATTAAACAGTATTAAAAACTTCAAGCTAGGCATTGGTGGCTCATGCCTATAATCCTAGCTACTTTCGAGACTGAGATTGGGGGGAATCAAAGTTCAAGACCAGCCCTGGCAAACAGTTCAAGAGACCCCCATCTCCAAAATAACCAAGGCAAAATGGACTGAGATGTGGTAGAAGCAGTATAGCACCGGTTTGCAAGTTCAAACCCCAGTCCCACCAAAACAAGTATTTCTAAAAATAAAATCACTGTGTTGGAAAGATGGTAAATGGTCTTTCTTTAGAAACTTACTATCCATTATAAAAGTTATAAATTAACATTTAAAAGCATTTTGGTTCCTCAAGGTTCACCGCTTTTCAAAATTGAACCTCTCAAGAATGACACATAAAATATAGCTAATGTAGCAGCCTTTCACACAAACATTACAAAACAATTTAGAAGAGAAGATAATGTTGTCACAAGCTTCTGGCATACTTCACATCAGTTTGAGATATCAGATAAAAACACTCAACCTTAGAATTTGTGAATAAAGTGCATTTGCTTCATGACAGAGCATGATGATTTTCTTTGGGAAACCCTCATTCATTGTGAGGTGAACTGAACTAGCATTTTTATTTGTCATCTGATAGACAAACTATCGCTATTCAAGTTGAAAATTTGATATACACTTTCTTGAAAATGAACAAACAAAGCCACCTCTCCAGACAGTACTTGTTTTGCCATTACAGTATCTGAGCTTTCAAGAGAAAAATCAGAATTCTGGAAAACTTCTAAGTGCCACTGAAAGTAAGTTTCCCCATGTGTGCAAACAGCTCTGACGAGCCTAGTAATGATACGAACACGTGCATTTTTAATACTGTATGAGATGTGTCAATGTTTTCAAGATCAACATTACTAAGTAAGCCAGTATTTCTAAAATGACCAAGGTATAATGTCAGAAACTCATTCTAGAACAAGAGATACATTCAAAGCCTAAGCGAGACCAATAGATTTTAATGTAACACAGTCTACAAGTTCAATAAGGTTAAGAAACCACAATGCAACTAACTTTTTTTTTTTTTTTTGGAAAGTAGTCTTGCTGTGTTGTCCAAGATGGTCTCCAATTCCTGGGTTCAACTGATCCTCCTGCCTCAGCCTCCCAAGTGCTGGAACTACTGGTATGCACCACTCCCCTGGCCAACTAACTTCAGTAATTACCATTTGTTAAGGCTGGGTGTGGAATCGAGAGTATCTCAGGGGCTGGGCTTATGGCTACGTGGTAGAGCCCTTTCAAGGCAAGTGCAAGGCATGAGCTTGATTTCCATGATGGATGGCAATGGTTACAGGAGAGGGAAGACTTGAGAAGACTGCTAACAAATCAGCAAGGATTTCAACAGCTGTGCTAAAAGCAATACAACTGGGTGACAGGGTCAGACCTTAAAAGCTGAATATGATCGTGACACCTTCAAAATCCAAACACCCAGCTGCCTTGCCTCCTGCCTGATATTTAGGCCCCATTCCTTATACTCACATTTATTGCCTCGAACAGCATAAGCGAGCTTTAGTTCTGGATGAAATCTGCCCATCTGCTCAATCACTTTTCCTGTTTGAAGCGCCAGCTCATATGTTGGGGAGAGGCACAGACACTGAGAGAGAGATCATGGAGGATGAGTTTACGCACCACGTATGTTAATGTTACTACCACCGGAACAGTGCTGGAGCGACAGCATCCTGGACCAAGCACACCTTTCAGGTGTGGCCTGGAACCTGTAGCAGGGAGCCCTGGCCTGGTGGGAGCCTTGGCTCTAGAGAGGCCTTTAGAAGTCACTATTTAAGGCTACTGTTTCCAAATGAATTCTACCTGGTTGGGACCTGTGCAGTAACTTGCTCTGCCTGAGCCACAGTCAAAGGTGTTAGCCATGGTCAATCTTCTCAGTAACTCCCTCCCCCCACCAGATGGTGCTTCCCTCTCAGGGTAGATAAATCAGGCCCCCAGGTTTCTAAGCCCTTACCTGAGGGTATCTGTCTGCTGGTTCTACTCTACTGAGCATGGCCAGGACGAAGGCAGCTGTTTTCCCAGTGCCAGACTGAGACTGCGCAATTAGGTTCTGTGGGCTGGATCAGTGAAGAACAGAAATGAAATTAATATTGCTTAAACAAATAAAGAAACAGAAAGCAGGGTGCCGGTGGCTCACGCCTGATATCCTGCTACTCATGAGGCAGAGTTCAGGAGGATTGAGGTTCGAAGCCAGCCTGGCAAATGTTTCCCGAGACCCTATCTTGAAAAAAACCCTTCACAAAAAAAGGGCTGGCGGAGTGGCTCCAGGTGTAGACACTGAGTTTAAACCCCAGTACCACACACACAAAGAATCAGACATAACTGTCACATAACTCAAGGTAGAAGAAGTTATTTCTCTCTTTATGCTTCTCTATATTATCTAGGTCTCTGCACTGAGCAGTTTTTTTTCTCTTTTCGTTTTTCTTCCTGTAGCATTAGGGATCATCAAATCTGGGACTTACGCATGCTAGGCAAGTTGTCTACCACTGAGATACATCCCCAGCTCTACATTCTTTGTATGTTGTTAAAAATGGCTTCAATTGTGAAGGAAATAAGAATTGTTTTAGATGAATTCCCACCAAAAAAAGTCCTCTTTCCAGACTTTAGCACTGTTAGAGTGCTCCAATTTTGTATTTCATGGTACTCAGGGAAATCAAGAAGGTATACTAAGATCTGGGCCAGACAAGTCCCCAATGACATTTTCTGCTGAGTCACAATGTGTCCCCAGAACTCGGCTCCTTCTCTGAGCTCCCTTTTTCTGTCTTTACAGACAGTTTATGATACCAACTAAGATAAATGTTTTAGAGAGAACATTAGAATACTATTTCATGTTAACACAGACTCATGAGAATGGGTAGTGTTTTTGTCATTAAAAAAAATAAATAAATAAATATATATATATATATATATACAAAAAAAAAGAAAAAGAAAAAAAATATATATATAAGCTGATATATATATTTAGGTGGCTCACACCTATAATCCTAGCTACTCAAGAGGCAGAGATCAGGAGGATTGTGATTCAAACCCTGCCCCAGAGAAATCGTTTCACGAGTCCCTCTCTTGAAAAAACCCTTCACAAAAAAAGGGCTGGTGGAGTGGCTCAAGGTGTAGGTCCTGAGTTTAAACCCCAGTACCACAAAAAAAAGAAAAAAGAAAAAAATTAAAAATTGAACTGGAGGCTGGTAGCCTATGATCCTAGCTACTTGGGAGGCTGAGATCAGAAAGACCATGGTTTGAGGCCAGCCTGGGCAAATAGGTCATGAGACCCCATCTCCAAAATAACCAAGCAAAATGGACTGGAGATGTGTTCAACTGGTAGAGCACCTGCTTTGCAAGCATGAAGTCCTGAGTTCAAACCCCAGTCCCACCAAAAAAAAAAAAAAAAAACAAAAAAAACATTAAGCTAAAAAGTTGCTACATAAGCCAGGAGCTGGTGGCTCACGCCTGTAATCCTAGCAACTCAAGAGGCAGAAATCAGGAGAATCATGGTTTGAAGGCATCCCAGGCAAACAGTGTGTGAGACCCTATCTTGAAAAATTCCATCACAGAAAAGGGCTGGTGGAATGGCTCAAGTGGTAAGACAGCCTGCCTAACAAGCCTGAGGCCCTGAGTTCAAGCCCTAGTGCTGCCAAAAAAAATTATTTTTAAGTCCAATTTCTGGGCTGGAAGCATGGCTTACATTGTATTGCAACTGTCTAGCAAGATAAGGTCTTGAGTTCAAACCCTAGTACCACCAATAAAGAAAGAAAGGAAACAAAGGTAAAATCCAAAAAAATATGTATTTTTTTGTGGTATTGGGGCTTGCACTCAGAGCCTACACCTTGAGTCACTCCACCAGGCCTTTCTTGTGATGGGTTTTTTTGAGATAGGATCTCTCAAACTATTTGCACAGGCTGGCTTCAAACCAAGATCCTCCTGATCTCTGCCTCCTGTGAGCAACTGGCACCCGGCAAAAATACCAAATTTTAAAATTACAGAAAATAAAGTACTAACTTTACCGTTTTTTTTTTTTTAGGTGCTAGTGTTTGAATTTAGGGCCTATAACTTGAGCCACTTCACTAGCCCTTTTGTGTGATGGATTTTCTCGAGAGAGGGTCTCTCTAACTGTTTGCCCTGGCTGGCTTCAAACCATAATCCTCCTGATTTCTGTCTTCTGAGTAGCTAGGATTGTAGACGTAAGCCACTGGCATTCAGCTAACTTTACCAGTTTTTAGTGTTAAGTGGGAAAAATAGAAATGGTGTCCAAATCCATGTGACTCTCTATACTTGTTTGAGTTATTTTCCTGAAGAAAATGTGTTTCCTAGAAATAGCAAGAAGATGCCGGTGGCTCGATCCTGTAATCCTTGCTGTTTGGGAGGACAGTGGTTTGATTCTAGCCTGGGCAAATAGTTCCCAACATCCCATCTCCAAAATAACCTGAGCAAAATGGACTGGCAGTTTGGCTCAAGAGGGAGAGTACCTGCCTAGCAAGTATGAAGCCCTGAGTTCAAACCCCAGTCCTATGAAAAGCTAAATAATAAAATAAAAAAAGAAACAGTAAGAGCTGTCTGAGGTACGATTTAGTTAAACTAGCTTTGGAAGAGGTACACTTAGGTCTGCACTCACGGTTCGGCAAGCATCATGGGTAACGCATTCTCTTGAATCTTAGACGGTCGATTGAAGCCCATGGCATAGACTCCCTGGAGAAGCTGTGGCTTCCTAGGAGGAAAGGTACAGAGAGGATGGGTTTCTAGCAGCTGAAATTGTTCTAGAGGCCTGTTAGTTAAGAAATGATGCCTCCTACCTCCAACTATTTTCTAGTACCTTAAAAAACACCATTTAAAACAATCTAAACCATCATCTTTTCCTACTAAATCTTAATCTGCAACTAGTACACAATTCATAAGACACACACTGGTTTCCTTTCCTGAAGAAACTAATTCTTTCAGCAGAACCACAAATCTGGTTGGCCTATGATGACAAGTGTTCCTTGGATACAGCGAGAGTAGTATTTACTAATTCATAGCATAAAATAAATTATTAAAAAATACCTAAAAATGAACAGTGCTTGCTATATTGCTAAGACAGAGAAATCGCCTTAGAGAATGAAATTTCAGTTTTTATTTCTTGGTGCACATATTAAAATTGAGCCACAATCCTTTTGTGTTCCAGCTGTGCAAATACACAGGACAACAAAAAAAGTGAGAATACTGATTAAGGTAAGAACACTGATTAAGTTTCTAGTACTTGATATATAGTCAGGTAAGAGTGGTTTGATTATCAGACCGAACCTTACATATGCTCAGATTTAGCTATTTTGTCTAGCCAAAAATCAAGATTAGAAAAGCACCAACTTATGTAAGTAGACACACAACAAATAACAATTAAAATTACTCTTTCGTTGCATTACAATGAGCTCTCTGCAACCTCTAAATTGACAGGGTGTTTAACAAAAACCACACCAGACTGTTTGTGAAGAAAAGCCAGACCAAGTTAATTAAGCCTTCTATACTCTAAACTTTCCCTAGAAGTTAGCAGGCGCTTTAAAAGGCCAATTTTTCTGGCATATGCTGGTTTTCAGAAACAAAGAACTTTCAAAAACCAGCCAACACTGGTGGCTTACACCTGTAATCCTAGCTGTTCAGGAGGCAGAGAGCAGGAGGATTAAGGTTTGAAGCCAATCTGAGCAAATAGTTCGAGAGACCCTATCTTGAAAAAACCCATCACAAAAAAGGGCTGGCAGAGTGGCTCAAGCAGTAAGAGTGCCCAGCAAGTGTGAGGCCCTGAGTTCCACCTCCAATGCTTCCAAACTCCCCCCGCCCCTTAAGAAACCATAAACTTTGGTGTCATCTATTTGGAAAGAAGGAAGCCTCTGACTTTGTTGTCAAGGAAACAAAGTTACTACCTAATTGGAATTCCTGCAACCAAACAGCTTCCATTGGGTCATTAATTTTCTTTTATTTTTGCACAATATTTTAAATCTTGTAAGTATAAAAGAGCCCAAGTATAATAGGAGACTTTAAGTTCATTCCTATCTCCTTTGGATTCCAACAGCTAAATCAGACAGAACTTGTTTTTCAAAGGGGATGATTCATCAGTGATTGAACTTAGACCTCAAGTCTTTCAAACAAAAGGAATTTTTAAAACTCTCCGATCCTGGAAGAACAAACTGTTGGTCTCAGCAAACAGAGCACACACTAAGCCCTGATATAGTTTAAGAACAGAAGCAGGGATGACACATTTGGTGAATAAAGCCCGGGACAAAGGAAACACCCATAGAAAATCTAATTTCCTGAAAGCCTAAAAGAAACACTTCAAAAACCTTGTTCTTCACAGGTACTTTATTAACAGTGTCTCTTCCTCAGTGGCAACAGCCAGCGGAATGTGGCCTCTGCCCTCGCACACTACAGATTTTGCTGAACAAAAGCAAATAATCCATCCATTGTACCACAGTCTAATTCACCAGCTACCTTCTATTTATGATTTGGATCCTGACAAGTAGCAAGGTTTGTATTGTGTTCCACATTAACACCCAGCCCAGAGGCAATCATCCATAAATACTACTTTACTAACTTGGTAAAGAAAACAAACATGCAGTATGACCTTTCATAATTCCCTGCCTTTGAAAATGATGACACTAAAGGTCATTCTCAGTAAATATGCTCCCTTAAGGCTGAATTCTGGGTTCTGGATTTCTTTTTTTTTTCTTTTTTTTTTTTTTTTAAATCTTGAACTATCAAAGGTTGCTCTATGATAGGTACCAGGAATCTTTTGATAGACTATCTAAAAGTAGGTAAACTGTTCTTAAAACCGTAAACCCTGTAGTCTAACAAAAGGGCTTACCTAATAAGAAAGTTCCTGACATCCAGAAATCACCTGTCAGCCAATATTTTATTGATAGTTCTAAGAGCATAAAAGAAAGAAGACTTTCAGCTATGAACGAATAAATTTGTGGCATTTAAAAATTTCTACCGAGAAAGCTGGGTGCTGTGGCGTGCACCTGTAGTCCCACCTACCCAGGAGGCTGAGGTGGGAGGATCCCTTGAGCCCAGGAGTTCACGGCCAGCTTGGGCAACACAGTGAGACTAAATTAAAACAACAACAAAAAACCTCTACCAAAAGGAGTACTGGGCAGCCAAGAGAAGAGTGGGAGCGCATCACTGTAAACTCATGCACACTTTTGACTTCTGAATCATGAGGATAATTACCTACTCAAAGAAATAAATGTATTAAAAATGTTAAAGCAAAAAGTAAAGTTCTCCCAAGAATCTCTGTTTTATGGGGAAGGACTGGCAAGGAATAGCCATTCAAAGCAATGAATACTCACAGGCGAAGCTCTTCGAAGGACTTCACTGAGTAGAGTGGGGAGTTCGGGTCCCGCTGTAGGACTTCCACTTGGTTTGTGTTATCCACAAGGTTGCTTCTGATCAGCTTGTTAAGTAAAGACTGGGCAGCTTTGTCCTCTGTCAGGAAGAAAACAGATTTTCTTCAGACTCACTGGGCAAAAAAACCTACCCTTACAAAGACACCCTACCCTCTCCTTATCCTGCATCAGCACCTGGATAGCCAAGCATGGCTGGAGGAAAACCCACTCACATTAACAGGTCTCCTTTTACATTCTTGACCACTAGACTCAAATGGACTGAGCTGTTCAGCAAGTCTTCCTGTTTCCGTAATCCACTTATTCATTCTCCCAAACCCCTATTTATACCTTTTTTTTTTGCAGTACTCGGGTTTAAACTCTGGGCCTACACCTTGAGCTACTCCACCAGCCATTTTCCCTGGATGGCTTCAAACCACGATCCTCCTGATCTCTGCCTTCTGAGTAGCTAAGATTATAGTCACGAGGGACCGGCGCCTGACTCACAGGTGTGAGCCACAAGCACCTGGCCATCCTTAGTTTTTTGAGATATAGTCACCAGGCTGGCCTGCACTTCTCTTTATCACCTTATTACCTTCAATTGACACCCTCTGGGTTGTTTTGGCCACGATGGGGATCAAATCCAGGGCCTCGCACAACCTAGGCAAGTGCTCTACTGCTAGGGATGCAGTCCCATACCCTATTTTTGAGACACTTCCTCTGGTATGTGTGACAGCACATTCTTGATTGTTGCTGCACTTCACTGACTGCTCCTTCTCAACCTCTTCTGCTGAGTTCCCCACAACTGCCCGATCTTGTATCTTGTAACTCAAGAGTGTCTCAGGTTCCAGGAAGGCAAGCCCTGGGCCACACCCTGTTTTTTGTCACAGGGCTTCAAAGAGTAGTACCTTTCTCTTCTTCATCTGTCTTCTCTGCAGTAGTACTGGTTCTGATAACACCTATAGAAGAAAAGAGTTATCATCAGAAAGACAAATATTGAACCCACCCAAAGGACAATGGTAGGACAATGGAAACACTAGGACTTACTCAGTTGACTCAAATGTGAATAGTCTGCATTTATGTTCAATGGATTTTATTTCTAGGAAGTATTTAGGTGCTTAACAAAAATTTAAATGTCTAGGATTTTGAACTTGGAGTGACCAGGTATGTCACTTCTGACTTACGTTTTTTGGGGAGAAACTGGGGTTTGAAGTCAAGGACTTGTGCTTATTAGGTAAACACTTTATCACTTGAGCCACATCTCCAGCCCTTTTTACTTTGCTATTTTCCCAAATGGGTTTCATGCTTTTTGCCTAGGCTGGCCTGGGACCACGATCCTTTGACCTATGTCTCCTTTGTAATTGGGATTACAGGTATGAACCCTCACAACTGGCTTGTTTTGTTGAGTTGGGAGTCTCCTAACTTTTTACCCAAGCTGTCTTAGAACTGCAATCCTTCCAATATCCACCTCCCCAGCAGCTGAGCTTACAGGCATGAGCTACTGCACTCAGCCTGACTTACTTATACTAAGTTAAAATACAGCATTATATTAGCAAACTCAATCCACCATTTTTTTTAACCTATCAGATTAGCAAAATTCTAAGTTTGACTAAAAAAACTCAGTGATGAGGTTGTAAGGAAACAGACATTTTCGTGGTCTGCTGAAATACAAATTGGTATATTTTTGATGGGTACTTTGAAAATACTTATAAAAGCTGCAGATACCTATGACCTAGCAAAACTATTTTGAGGAATCTATCCTACAAACACGTTGCACGTATGTAAACAATTTAAGTTCATGGTTATTCCAAGAAGCACTGTTCATAATGTAAAACAATGGGACCAACCCAAATCATTTATCAATAGATGACTGGTTAAATAAATTATGGTACAGTAACACAATAGAATGCTATGCAGTTACAACTGAAGTGATGAAACCATGCACTGATAGGAAAAGCTTGAGAAAGGTTATTTTTGAGTAAAAAAGAAGTACACTGTGTACTATAATGCCACTCACACCACCTTTTGGTGAGAGGAAAGTGGAGAGTGGAAGGGAGGGAGGACATTAAAGAAACTTTGGAAGAATATTAAAAGACCAGTAACAGTGGTTACTTGTGGGATGGGGTAGTGTTATGGGTTGAACTGCGTCCTCCTAAAATTTATATGTTCAAGTCCCAATCCCCAATACTTCCGAATGTGACTTTATTTGGAATGGGGTCTTTGCAGACATAACTGAGCATTAGAGTGACACGTCCTTATAAAAAGGGGAGAGTTAGGGCTGGGATGTAGCTCAGTGGCAGAGCACTTGCCTAGCCTGCTTGAGGCCCTGAGTCTAATCCCTAGCAGTGACCAAAAAAACAAAGGGGTGGGGGATGATGCAGATATCTGGGAGAATGCCGTGTAAAGATGAGGGCAGAGATCCAAGTGATGCTGTTACAATCCCAGAAACACCAAAGACTGCCAGCAAACCACCAGAAGCCAGGGGAGAGGCATGAAGGGGTTTGTCCTCACAGCCCTGAGAAGAAACCAACCTTGCAGACACCTGGATATTAGACTTCTGGCCCCCCAAGTTGTGAGACAATAAACTGCTGTGGTTTAAACCACTCAGCTTTGTAATTTTTTGGTTTTTTTTTTTGTGGACTGGGGTTTGAACTCAGGGCCTACACCTTGAGCTACTCCACCAGCCCTTTTTTGTGATGGGTTATTTCGAAATAGGGTCTCCCAAATTATTTGCACGGGCTGGCCTCAAATCATGATCCTCCTGATCTCTGCCTTCTGAGTAACTAGGATTACAGGCATGAGCCACTGGCATCTGGCAGCTTTGTGATGTTTTATTGGGGCAGACCCAGCAAATGAACCCACGTGCTGGGTTAAACCAGAAGCATGGGAAGATGGTAAATACATATTGGAACTGTATGGGAAGAAGGCCTTGAATCTTTTTGCAGCACTAGAGATGGAAACCTAGGCCTCAAGCATGCTAGGCAAGTGCTCTACCCCTTGCACCACACCCCTAGTCCTTATTTATTGTTGAGACAGAGTCTTGCTTCTACCTTTGCCTGGGCTAGCCTCCAACTCATAATCTTGCTGCTTCTACATTGTACTTTTTTATACTTTTGAGTATACTTTTTATACTTTTGAGGCTATTTTCATTTTTTAGAAAGTTAAAAATACTTAAGGAAGTATCATGCAGTGAACAGGGGTCCAGGGAACAGAGGTCCAGTGAACAGGGGTGGAAAAAATCCAATAGTGAGTCTTGATTTTAAGGAGTCAGAGGCAAGAAAAATCTGGAAAAGTGACATATTCCTCCTTTAGGAATGAACCCTAACTTAGGGCTCTCCATTCCAGTGCCATCTTTTGCCACATGGTGCAATGAAGGAGAGCTCACTGCAGGTGAGGGCAAAGCAGAAGCACTCGTGGAATCTGTACCTAGTCTGTAGTTACTAGTTAATGACTCACCATTGGTGTCTGGTTTGACTTTCTCTTCCTTGATCTGCAAATTGTTCATCTGAATAGGAGAAAAAGAAACGAGTAAACAAATGACCCAAGCCAAGGAAGGCTCTGAGCAAAGACACACTCCCTATTGCAAGCCCAGCAAGGACTACTGCAGAACTGTAGGAAGTTGGTTTGTTCTACACAATGCAGAATTGCTAAAAGTTTAGACACAAATATTTTAAACATTTTCAACCTTAAAAGGCGGGGGGGCCCCCTTGGGCTAAATGTAATGATATGGAGAAAGAGTAAGAAAAAGTCTCAAAACCTCTTCTCTTCCCTGAATTTATACTTTTTTTTTGGTACTGGGGCTTGAACTCAGGGCCTACACCTTGAGCCAACTCTACCAGTCCTTTTTTGTGAAGGGTTTTTTCAAGATAGGGTCTTGCAAACTATTTGCCCAGGCTGGCTTTGAACCGTGATCCTTCTGATCTCTGCCTCCTGAGTAAGTAGGAGTACAGACATGAGCCACTGGTGCCTGGCTCCAACTTATACTCTTTCTAGGACATCTAATCCTGGCTGGCAGAGTGGCTCAGGTGGTAGAGTGCCTGCCTAGCAAGCGTGAGGCCCTGAGTTCAAACCCCAGCACTGCCAAAAACAGAAAAAAGAAAAAAAAAAAAGACCATCTAATCCTTTATATCCTTTCAGTGTGGCAAAAACACTCACAGTTCCTTTCTAAGAATGATACCATCTGAACAAATGAGTTTGTTTAGTGTGTGTGGTACTGGGGATTGAATCCTTGAGTAAGTGGCTACTGCTCAGCTATACCCCCTACTCCACTTTTTTCTTTTTAATCCTGAAACCCACTGCAAATAAACTACAGTCCTCTATCTTGTTTTATCAATATCAACCAACTGCACAGTAAGTTAGGTAAAACATTTTTTGAGACATGGTCTTGCTGGGTAGTACAGGCTGGTGTTCAGAAGACTCACAATCCTGCCTTAACCTTAGAGTGCTGGGATTACAACTGTGCACAACCATGCCCAGTTTGGTAAAAACTTATTTACTGCCATGAAACAATTGACAAACCCAAGACCCTGCTCTGAAAAGCCCAGAAACTTGAATAAAAGGGCTTTTCCATTTACTCTTGGCTATGCAGATCTACTCAATACAAACTTGTTTAGTAAATTGCAAAGAAAAGTGGAAGCACAACAATAATTAATAAACTCCCCACTTCTAGGAACTCCAGGAAGACTAACTTTCTAAGTTCTGAGAATTGGTAGGAGTGTGATATAAAGATGGTATTATAAAGGTATATTGTCAGGGTCTGAAGAATTCCCAAATCAAGCCCTAGGTCCAAGCTCACCCCCAAGATCCCTGGGTTGATGTAGCAACTCATTATCCTTATGATAACCGTTAGTTTCCTGAAGTCTTGCTACACTTCGTTAAATTACTATGCCTTCTCCAATTTGCCCTTTCCAACTGACCCTGCTCTGAGTCTTTGGGAGAAGGAAGCACACCCACACACAGTATTCATTTTGATCTCTTTCTTTTCTTGTTCTTTTATTTATTTACATTTTTGTAGTACTGGGGCTTGAGAACTCAGGATCTACACCTTGAGCCACTCACCAGCTTTTTTGGTGTCGGGTACTTTTGAGATAGGGTCTCAAGAACTATTTGCCCAGGCTGGTTTTGAACCTTGATCTTCCTGATCTCTGGCTCCTGAGTAGCTAGGATTATAGGCGTCAGACACTGGTACATGGCTCTCATATGACCTGTTTAGAAACCAGATTTTCCAGAGAAAAGCAGATTAGCACACTTCCTCCTTACTGGTGAACATACTTTCTCTGAAGGCCAACTGGGGGGCGGAAATCAAGGAAAAAAAGGGCTGGTGGAGTGGCTCAAGTGGTAGAGTGCCCGCCTAGCAAGCATGATGCTCTGAGTTCAAACCCCAGTGCTGCAAAAAAAATAAATAAATAAAAATCATTAAGGCCAATGGGAAGGCTGACACATACACAGAAAAGGATCTTACATCAGAACTTATTTATTGGTTGGTTAATCCTCATTTCCAGGATGTATACACAGGTATCCACAGCAACAGACTACAACTGGGATGGTCTGAAAATAGGACTGAGACCAGCTGGAACCCCGTAACCCAACCAAGTTGATTACAGTGGTCACTAGAAAGTCTGACGGATGAATGAAAAGAAACCGTAACCGAATTCACAAATCCACTGTCCTTTAATGTGTTTGAAGAACAGACATGTTAATAAACAGAGGCATGCTTAAAAGCTAGAAAAAGGGATCTTGCCAACAAGAATTCGTCAGCATTTTCCACAGCCATAAGGTGTTTTTTTTTTTTTGGCAGTATTAGAGTTTGAACTCAAGGCCTTGCACTTGCTAGGCAGGTGCTTTACCACTTGAACCATGCCCCCAGGCCTTGTCAGCACTTTTGAGTCACTGGTGGCTCACACCTGTACTTGTGAGGCTGAGACTGGAAGGATCATGGTTCCAGGCCACCCTGGGCAAAAAGAGTTCACAAGACCCCAGCTTAACAGAAAAGGCTGGGGGGAGGGGGGTAAAGGTGCCTGTCATCCCAGCTATGGCAGGAAGTGTAAAATAGGAAGATGTTGGTCTAGGTTAGCTTGGGCAAAAAAGCAAGATCCTATCTCCAAAATAACCAAAACAATGAGGGCTGCAGTTGTGGCTCAATAGTAAAGCACCTGCTAACAAGCATGAAGCCCTGAGTTCAAACCCCAGTACCACAAAAAAAAAAAAAAAAGTCAGCATTTATTCAGCTGCATTCAAAGGAAAAGGTAATTAATTCCACATGGGGGAAAAAGTGTGCATGGGTCCTTCCCCGAATATTACAAAGCAATGTTTTAAAAAATGTATTGAGACCAGTTTTCTGGCAAGTGCAATCAATGGTTAGACCAAGATATCAAGTATTGTAGCCCTATCTTTGTGACATTCATATCTTGGTGAGATTAAGAAAAACAAAACAAAATAAAACACAAAAAACCTGCACTGGGGAACAAATCCAGGATCTCTTACATGCAACACCTCAGCCCTGATTTCTTTCTTCTTTTTTTTTAAGGTGCTAGGGACTGAACCCAGGGCTCTGAGCATGCTAGACAAGCCTTCTACCACTGAGTTATACCCACAGCCTGTTTCTTTTCTTTTTCTTTTTGGTGGTACTGGGGACTGAACTACTCAGGGCCTCTCACTTGCTAGGCAGGCACTGTACCACTTGAGCTACTCCACCAGCCCTGTTTTTTCTTTTTCTTTTTTCTTTTTTTTTTTTTTTTTTGAGAGAAAGTCTCACTATGGAGCCTAGGCTAGTCCCAAGGGTGCCCTTGAACTCACAATCCTCCTGCCTCTGCCTTCCAAAAGTTGGAAGTGTTGGGATTACAGGCATGCCCAGCTAGTCCTTTATGTCTTGTGAACTGGCAGAACTAATTTTGTAAGTATCCCTCTTAAAAATTCTCAAATGTGTGCTGGGCCCTGGTGGCTCATGCCTATAATACTAGCTACTCAGGAGACAGACTTCAGGGGGATCTCGGTTTGAAGCCAGCCGGGGCAAATAGTTTGCGAGACCTTATCTCAAAAAACTCTACAAAAATAGGGTGATGGAATGGCTCAAGGTGAAGGCCCTGAGTTCAAGCCCCAGTACCACAAAAAAAAAAAAAAAAAACCTTCTACACTGCCAACACTTTGGTGCATCTCTCTACCTTTTTACTAACTTCCACCTTGCTCTTAAAAAATATTTATTCACTGATATCTAGTTCACAAGAAATGTATCTGATTTCTTACTCATACATATCTGGTCATGGCTCATTTATCACATCACCCTTACCATTTCCACAATTTCCCCCACTCTAGCCTTTCCAATGAAACTTTTTCCCCCCCAGTACAGGGGTTTGAACTCTGGGCCTTGGCTTGCTAGGCAGGTGCTCTGTTGTTTGAGTCACACCTCCAACCCTACAATGAGACTGTAAAGCTGCTTCCTACACTGTATGAGGCTTAGTCCAATTCGAACACCTGCTGAAAGACTGGTAATCCTCTCAAAGCAATAAAAATGGCTAAAGAAATGTAATTTATTTATTTATTTATTTAATAATCCTCTCAAAGCAATAAAAATGGCTAAAAAATTTTATTGATTGATTGATTGATTGAGATAAGGTCTCCCTAACGAAGCCGAAGCAGACCTTGAACTTAAGATTTTCCTGCCTGACTCCCGAGTACTGAGATGAGTACAGGTCTGCATCACCACGCCGGCTAAGAAATGTAATTTCAACACTGTAAAGTTATATAAGGCTGAGACTACCAAAAAAAAAAAAAAAACAATGAAAAGATACATTCTGAAAACTAAACTTCAGGTCTTAGATGTAAAAACAGAAAGCCACAGTTTACACTGTAATTACCTTCCAGTTGAAAAAAAAAAAAACTATGAAACTAAATGTCACTTAAAACATCAATGAAACAATTTTTAAGTGTCTCCCTCCAACACCTGCAGTTGATTGAAACATTAAAACAATCTGTTATTCTGCAAAGAGCTACAAACTGCCAATTACATACAATGAACCTAAGAATCGTTAGATATTAAGTAGCACAAGAACGCTCAGAAACTTGTCAGTTAAAAAGAATCAGAATTTAAATTTGCTTTTCCTTACAATCGTCACGAGAAAGAGGTGCAATGTAGGAGACACCACACAAATAGAGAACACAGATCTGCGAAGTCTTTAGCCTAGATGAAAAGGAAAAAGCTCGACATCGGTTTCTTCCGCCCTAGGAGCAAACCAGGACTACGTGATTGCCCGCGGCCAATACCAGGCGAGTGCTGGGCACCTGCCGGCCCACTCGGGAAGCCCCTGGGCTCGAAACGGGGTCCGCATGAGCCCCTGCTACGGTCTCCCTGCCTAAAGCTACTGACCGATTTGACAGCCGCTTCCTGCTCGTCCACCGCCAAGGCCCAGGAGTCGGTGGCCATGGTCCCGAAGAAGGGTGGGCCACTCGGGAAAAACTGCACCACACAGCAAGCCAATATGAACCTCCAGCCTGCAGCCGGCGCGAGATTCGGCTCACGTGGGCCGGAAGCGGTGGTGCGTGGAGGTGACGTCACTTCCTATGCGGCGTGAACCGTCACCATTGCGCGCCCAGGATGGACGAAGGCCTGGTCCCCGGTATAAGTGAGCAGACTGACGCCTTTTCCTCCAACTTCCCAGGTACAGTCTCCTCATCGAGCGTTGGAATCCTTGAGCTGTGCAAAACGAAGCTTCATACTGCCTTGCTTCATACTTAGCTAACCCAAATTTCACTTCATAGTTGCCACGTCTCATATTAAACAAGTCTGTGAATTGTAAAGTCTCATGAAGATACTCTATTGGAGCCAGGTGTAGTGGAGTACGCTTGTAGTCCCAGCACTGGGGAGGCTGAGGTAGGAGAATGTGAGTTCGAGTCCAACCTCGGCTACATAGCGAGCGTGTCTAAAGAAAGAAAGAAAGGAGGGAGGGAAGAAGGAAGGAACAAGAGATAGGAAGAGAGAATTGATTTCCAGCACAAAATTATGTTGTCAGTTTTTACTCTTAAAACACAATAGGGCCGGTCGCCCGTGGCTCACGCCTGTAATCCTACCTACTCAGAAGACAGAGATCAGGAAGATCACGGTTGGAAGCCAGCCCGGGCAAATAGTTCGCGAGACCCTATCTCGAAAATACCCACCACGGGCTGGAGGTGTGACTCAAGCAGTAGAGTTCCCACCTAGCAAGTGCAAAGACCTGAGTTCAAACCCCAGTTCTGCAAAAAAAATAAAATAAAAAGAAAGAAAATAGGGCTGAAGGAGTGGCTCAAGCTGTAGAGCGCCTGCCTAGCTAGTGTGAAACCACGAGTTTAACCCTGGTACTGCTAAAAAAAAAAAAAAGTTACAAGGTAAAATGAGGCACGACCACCCAAGAAAGACTTTAAGGGAGAATCTTTATTAGCTAGCTGGCGACTGCTCTGACCAACAGGTCAGTTGGGTCTCAGAGCAGCCCCTCTCTAACTTTTAGCAGGGTTTATAAAGGCAAAAACCACATCCTGTTGGGCAGTCTTTGCAAAGTAAGCTAGCTTGGGTACAGAAGCAAGACAATGGCTGTTAGCTATAAGCATGAGTGAACACAACACAATCGTTTAACCACATCCTGGTTTGGTTCCTTCTGTTTTCCTTGTTTTTTATGGGAACCAGACCTTTTCATGAACCTCCTTCAGCTTGAAAGCTAAAATGGCACCTGATTAATGACTCCCCTTTGGCTAAGTCATTAACCATTAAAAAAAAAAATTAAGGAAACAACAGTGAAACATAAAGCCTTAAATTCCCAGTCTCCTGGCTCCAAAACATAACACACAACAGCTTTGCATCTGGCACAAGTATTTTAGGTAGTCCTACGCATACAATTGTTTAGTTATATGCATAGGTTTATTTTGTATGAGACAGCTCTTACTATGTAGTCCAGGCTGGCATCAAACTCACAGTCCTCCTGCTTCTGCCTCCCAAGTGCTGGGATTACAGGAGTTCACCACCATACCCAGCCATGGATGAGTATTTTTAATGTTATAATTACCAGTTTAAAGCAGTCATGGAGATCAGGCTGTGCCCTGCTCTAACTTAACTGCATATTGTATAGAGCTGTAGCTTTCAGGCCATGCCTTGCCCTAAGTGACTTCATTTTATAAAACAGCAGTTTGCTCCATTTTGAGTGTAAATTCTGAGGCAGAATGACTACATATTATTTGTGCAAGAAACACCACCTTCAGTCCAGCACAAACCATCAGGCACAGACTGATAAACAACTGTTTACACAAAGTATTACTCCCTATGAACTTAGAGTGAAATCAGGAACACATGGACACATGGGTATATCAAAAACATCAGAAAAATATAGGCTGGTAGACTTACTGATCACCCTAGATGTAACCTCTCTAAAAGAAGAGTCACCTACTACTGGAGTATTGTGGCACCCAGCAACCCCTCATCAGACCATCTGGTGCGTGCATCTGGGTTGACAGACCATGAACTCCTGTCTCTGTCCCGAGGACTTCAACTCTGCACACCTCCTCTTGACATGGCCCACTCTACTTGCCTATTTTTTGTTTGATGGTTTGTGACAGAATCTCAGTACGTAGCCCAGGATGGCATTGAAATTGTGATCCTCCTGCCTCAGCCTCCCAAGTTCTGGGACTATAGGTGTGTACCACCAAGCCTGGCTTCTAGTTGCCATTTACCTGGACCCATTAAGCCTGGAACCAGTTCTGCACCTTGAACAAGCTCTGTCCCTCAAGTCAGCCCTGTGCCACACAGCTGTGAGTAGGTTCCTTACATTAATATTTAACCACCTGCAGAGACTGTTTTTACATCTATATCAGCTCTCTGCTCTTGACTTTAGTAGGCCACTTTGAGCCTTACAGCCTACTGCTTTAACCTTTCTTAGCCATTCTGTAACATGTATATGTTACACATATATCATATATCTATGATATATTTGTACATATGTCATTGTGTGAAGTATAATGTGAGAGCTAATATCAGTAATTAAGAGCCTGGTGATGGGGGATGAAGGAGAATGGTGGAGGGTGTGGATTTAATTAAGATACATTGTAAACACATATGCAAATGTCACAAAAACAACCCATGTACAACCCATGTTAACAACAACAACAAAAAAAGGTTATAGAGTGCCTGCCTAGCAAGCATGAGACCCTCAGTTCAAACCCCAGTACCACAAAAAGAGAATTTATTTTTAAATTATTTCAGTTTCCTTCCCCCTCACCCCCCATGGCATTAGGGCCTCAGACATGCTAGGTAAGTGCTCTACCACTTGAATTATTCCCCCAGCCCTTTTGTTTCATTTTATTTTTGAGACAGGATCTTGGTACCTTTTTGCTTATGGTTGGCCTAGAATTAGTGATCCTCCTACCTCTACTTCCTGAGTAGCTGGGATTACAGTTGTGAGCCACCACAAGCAGCTCAATTTACTTTTTGAGGGGGTGTCTTCTTCAGATGGTTCAAAAATCAGAAATTTGGATGATACACCAATCTTCCTCCTTATTTACCTAAAGGGGTTGAAAACACGTCCACAGAAAAAAAATGTACAAGGATGTTTCTGGCAACTATCTGTGAATTTATTGTTGTTCAATGAATTCTGCTTGAAGGGTTTTTTTGCTTTGTTTTATGGTGGGACTGGGATTTGAACCCAGAGCTTTACACTTGCAAAGTAGGCACTCTACCACCTGAGCCACATCTCCAGTCTTTTTTTTTTTTTTTTTTGGCAGCACTGGGGTTTGAACTCAGGGCCTCACGCTTGCTAGGCAGACACTCTACCACTTGAGCCATTCTGCTATCTTCAGTGAATTCTGATACAGCATGTCTATGTTTCTAGCATAGCTCTTTCATGACAGAAGTATAATAGTTCATCAAGTTCATGTCACATATTCCCTAAGTCCCCCTTCCACCCTAGAGGATAACAACTTATTTCCAATGTTTTGCTACTGATTGATTACATTTCAGTGAGCATCTCCAAACAGTCAAAAACAGCTTGTTTGCCTACAATTTATTTTTTGTCATTCTCTCTTTACTAGAATATAAACTATTTTTTTTTTTTTGGTGCGATGCTGGGCTTACACTTTGAGCCACACAACCAGCTCTTTTTTGTGATGGGTTTTTTCGAGATAGGGTCTCTCCAACTATTTGTCTGGGCTGGCTTTGAACCATGATCCTCCTGATCTCTGCCTCCTGGAACTGGGGTTTGAACTCAGGCCTCATGCTTGCTAGACAGGCACTCACTGGAGCCACTCCACCAGCCCTCTCATAAATTTTTGGAAGGAATGTAAAATGACACAATAGATTCATATCACTGGTGGCTTCTCAGGAAGTTAAACATAATCCTACTCTGATCCAGCAATTCTGAGGAAAATAGAACATGTCCACAAAAAGACATGTGCACTGATGTTCCTAGCAGATTTAACCCATAGTACTCAGAACTGGAAACAACCCAAGTCTCATCAACAGGAAAATTGATGAAAGAATTATGGTTTATTTAGTCAATGGAATGTTATTCACCAACAAGAAAGAATAAATTACTGATACACTAAATGACATAGATGAAACCTTTCTTTTTTATGGGGCTGGGGTTTGAACTCAAGGCTTCAGCCTTGCAAAGCAGGCACTCTACTGCTTGAGCACATCTCTAGTCCTGCTTTGGTTATTTTTCAGTTAAGATCCTGTGTTTTCGCCCAGGCCAGTCTGGACCATGATCCTCTTATTTATGGTTCCCCTACAAGCACACGCCACCATACTCAGCTTTTATTGGTCGAGATAGAGTCTTGACAGGAACTTTTTGCCCCGGCTGGACTCATACTGAGATCATCCTGATCGCCACTTCCTGAGTACCCAGGATTACAGGTATGAGCCACTGTGCCTGGCTTTGAGTCTGGCTTCTTCCATTCAGGGCTTTGTGCTTGCAAATGGCAGGAACTCTACTGCTTGAGCCACACCTCCAGTCCATTTTGCTCTAGTTTGTTTTGGAGATGGGTCTCATGGACTCTTTTCCTTGGGCTTGCCACAACTACCATCTCCAGTCTCAGCCTCCCAAGTATCTAGGATTACAGACATGAGCCACCAGTGCCCAACCATTTTTCCTATTTTTAAATCTTATATAAATAGATTATACATTACTTGGGAGGCTGAGATTGGGAGAATCGAGGTTCAAGGCCAGCTCAGCAAGTAGTTCATAAGACCTCATCTCCAAAATAACCAGAGCAAAAGTGGACTGGAAGTGTGGCTCAAGTAGTAGAGTACCTGCTTGGAAGCATGAAGCCCAGAATTCAAATTCCAGTTCCACCCTGTTAGGAAAACACCGCACATCACACACAAAGGAGGCTCACAAAAGTTATCTCATGTCCAAAAGTTTAATAAGCAGGCTGGCTGGCCGAGAAAAGGAAAAGAAAAATGGCGCAGCCGCTTCTCTCGGCCAGTCTGGCCTTGAGTAGCAT